GACAATTTAGAAGGTGGCGCTGTGGAGCAATTTTTCTATTGAGGTGTGTATTGTTCTTCCAAATTATAAAATTTTCCCCGGGTCTGATGTACATGGCAATTTTGGTGAGTTTTCGAGTATGTTTAGGGCCTCAAAAACGCGTGTCTTTGGCACGAATGATAATAATAATCCGAGCAGTTCCAATAGGGTCTTCGCACCCTTTTGGTGCTCGGACCCTAATAATAATAATAATAATCCGAGCAGTTCCAATAGGGTCTTCGCACCCTTTTGGGTGCTCGGACCCTAATAATAATCACAAGGCTTTCAATAGGGTCCTTGCATCGTTAGTGCTCGGACCTTAATAAGCTTATTTCCAAAAATGTCAAACTGTTCCTTTAAGCTTTTTTTTTTTCCTGCATTGTGTGCCCAATTAAATTCATTTTATTAACAACCTTTTCAGACCTGCTTTTAATTGGTCTCTCCTGATTAAAAATGTGTGGGGAAAAAAAAAATCATTTGACTTGCGTATAAGCTCAGAGACCTAAAAGACACATTTCTGTTATCAATCACGCTGCAGCTATAAAGCCGAGGCTGGACCTGACACTGCAAATCAATGACACGCTTCATTTGCTGCCCTCAAATGCCAGACAAAAGTGTTTGTGGTATGAAGTGACACACACACACATGCACTGACCCCTGGGGACGCGGGATTGTTTCCTGCTAATTCAAAATATTGAGGCCTGTGTTCTATATAACACAACTGACCTCTTGTATGAGAAGTGATGCGCAGCGACAGCCGAGTGTGTGTGTGTGTGCAACGTAGAAAAAGCAAAGGAGTAAATATATAAAGAGATATATGACATTCGGATATGAGTCACTCCTCTTTCTTCATCCTATTATTTTCACACCTATTTGGCCTGTTTTCTTACTACACCTTTCTTCCTCCTGTTCCTCCATCTGTCCCCTGTGCACCCGTGTGGCCTCGAAGCACAGCGGAGCGAGCAAATCGGAGTGGACTGCCAATACGGAGCACACCACGACCTATAGGGTGCACACACAAACACGCCAACGTTGCACGGTGATATGAGATTTAAAGCGAGTAAAAGAGTAGAAGAAGGAGGACGAGGGGATAAGAGGGAGTGGGATGAACTTGGCTGGGTGTCGCTCTCCCTCATCCTTCCTGCAGCTCTACTTGAAACACTGATGCTAACACAGAACGACTCTGGCTGGAGGGGATGCGGGTGGAGAGAGAGGGATGGCAAAGAGGATGGATGGATGGATGAATGAGAAAGGAATCCTCAAGAATCGGTCAGGCTCATCCTCCACCTCCTCCTCCTCCTCCTCCTCTACCGTGATGAGCACAGCAGGGAGAAAAAGGGGAAGGGGGAGGGAGACGAGGCGACAAATGGAAATAGATGGTGACACAGGCCTATGAAGCAATGAGCCTTTTGGAAATTTGCTGTACTTAGTGGCATTAGCTGCGCTCTAGTTCTTTTTTGTTTATGTTCGGGACTCTTGATTTTTGAAACAGATGTGAGGATATTGGTGCAATCTTAGAGACACATAAACATATGAAAAAAACCAAAAAGCTAACTTTCCTGCATGCCCTAAAATAACTTTGGTTGCATATTAGCTATCATTTCATCTGTTGATACTGACACCAGCAGCATCTTCTCCTCAGACACAGATGGCCGTGTGTTCGCAGGGAGCGATCAGCATGCTGACCTTCACTTTTAATGAGTTTCATTTCCCAGGCAGGAAATTTGAGCCAGATGCAGCGATGCCCTCGTGAAGTCTGGAAATATATGCAGGCCTTCGGTGGTGTGCCTAATATGTTTCCCTCTGAATCTGAATGCCACAGTGATTATAAGCTTACCAGGAGTTTAATTCGCCTGCCCGGCATAGCCCCGTTTTTTTTAATCCTGCAATCTGCATGAAAACGCTCACCAGTTTACTGTAACTATCTGACAGAAAATGAGAATGATGAAGGAGGATATGAGCATAGTCAGACTCATCTTCCTTTCTGCCCCCTTTTTTTTATTTTTATTTTTAGAGCTGCTGTGTCAGAGTGCATCACCAGATGAGTTGGGGTGGCTTCCCTCTTACAGTGCAGCCTATGCAGCAGTTCCCACCTCTTGACCAGCATGACTCAGGAGTCCTATAGGCGCAGCTGCAGAATATGTATAGATAAGCACTCTGTGACCTGTCCTCGGGGCCACTTGTGTAACACTGAGACGGACCAAAACAAATAGGAAGTGACATTGCCTTACGCTAAACACAAAGGAATGAAATAACACCATGATCATCAGCACTGACTTACTCAAACGCTCATTAAAGACCCCTGCAGCCTTACTTGGCCGCAATTTTGGCGCACTTGACCTTTTGTGGCTCCCTGGCTGCTCCTGCAGGCCGCTGATAAAGAGGGGTGTGGAATCTCATGGAGATAATTATGAAAACACACCCACACCCTAAGCGTAAAGTATGGCTTCCCTGGCAGTTGTTTTTGCATTTTATTACGTGCCATTATGTCTGGGACGCAAGAATGATGGTGCATGAGATGAAGAGGTGGCAGGGGCTGTTCATTCATTATGCCGTGCAATATGTCAGCCTCTTCCCCCCTTTTTCTCCCCAGCTCATTACCGTGTGGTCCACTTGCACCTGCGCTCCTGCAGGAGAGGGCTACACCTCACCAAATAAGGACATGTGAGAGCCTCGTTGGGATGACGTTGACCGTGAAATGGGGGGAAAAGAATAAAGACGGTTCGGATGGATGGAGAGACCTGAACCGGAGGGGGGGAAACACCGGGCTAATCTGGTTACATAAGAAGCCATTGAATTTGCAGAACGTCTCTGCGCTAATCCGCTGAACTATTCATGTTCAAGTGTCCCGCAGGCGGCACAACGCGCGCACACACAAACATACACACGAGGGCACAACATTGCGCGCAACACTTGTGGCTCCGAAGTGCTACAGACGCGCCGCAGAGGACACCGGAGCGCACGATATGAGATAAAAAAAAAAAAAAAAAAACGCGCGTATCTTTCTACGCTGAAGCTGCAGGAGCTCGCTGTGCCCTCATGTCGCGACTGGCGGCTTGTGCTGTTCGAGCCCGTGACGATTCCGCTGACGCGCCACTCGCCGCACCACCCAGGAGACAGAGAGGAGAGCTGTGAGCGACGGAACGAGCAGTGGACTGACTGGACACCGGGCTTCTCCTTTCTCTTTTTCTTTTTCCTCACTCCTCCCCTGCTGTTGTGCAAGTCCCCTTTTCTTGGACGACATTTAACGCGCAATTTAACCAGTAGCATCACCCAGAGCTGTTCTGCAGAGATGGAGGTACCAGGCTTGGCGCACAACATCACCAGTCCATTAAGTCCCTGCGAGGGGATGATCAAGGACCTGAGCTTGGACGCCATACAGTTATGCGAGCGCGATGGTAAGGGGAGGTTTGTCTTGCTTTTCACTGGCGGGGAAACATTTGCGCATAATACCGGCGCATTAGGCCCTATTGTTAATGCCAGAGTCGCTGCAGCGCATGCTGTCTGTTTGTCATTGGTTTTTTTAGCTGCATGCTCTACCCTTATTGTGCGTTTGAAGGGAAATAGGGGGCCGGTGGCTCCGCTGGTTCCTTGGATGGATGGAGAGGGATGGTGCGCTTGTGCGTGTGTGGAATAGCTGAGTGTCTCTACAGCGGGCATTCACAAGAAAAGGTGTCTGAGTTCAGAATAAATGTCGCTTATATCCATGTAAACTGAACTATTCTGGCAAGGTTAAGTCATGAGTGTCTTTATTTCAGCACCACAGACGTGGACAGAGGCCGGCAGACACCCCGCCTATAGTCTTATCAATGCTTCTTGTCTTTTCTCCCTAAGGTGCTGCCTTGTTCCGTTTATTTGCGTATTATCCAAGTTATCCTAAAGGCTGCAGTTTTATTTTTTCATTTTATCAACAGCTCACAAGAAAAACTCTTTCCCTGCTTGTGCATTTATAATTCATCAAGTCCTTTTCCGTGGCTGACTTCCCCCAAAGTTTTCTGAATATTTACCACAAAATGAGCAGCTGAAATGATTCTGATCATACATAAGGAGGCACCTATGAACCAGGTGTCTGATGTCAAATTCTAGGAGCAGTTTTCACATGAGCAGGCTTCACCCTGATGCGAATTTAATGGTGGGGATGGAGAAGAAAAAGCAAGTCATCATCAGGAGAGAATGAGAGGCTAAAACATGGCTGCACCCACATGTGTGTGTATGTGTGTGTGTGTGTGTGTGCACAGGCGGAGCAGCCCTACACACCCATCAGCACAATTACACACCACTGATTCCACGGAGTCAAGAGGCATGGTCACAGAGATGCTTTTTAATTAAGACTGCAGATTAATCCACATCCATGGATTGCTGTGGCATTTCATAGCATTTCCTTGATCTGGATTTGAATTGGCTGGTTGGAGCAGGCAGGAAAGTCAATGGTGTGTCTTCATGAAGATCCCCCTCAGCATCTGATCACAGTGCAGTCATTGTACCACGCTCCCTCGTTTTCCTCATCTTCCAGCGCCGCTCCTCACAAAGCAATACAACAGGGTGCAGCTTATATCCTCTTAGTGCTTTCCTGGCCTCGTTCTAAAGCTTTAATTTCAATAATGGTGCATACAGGCTGGGGGCTGCACTTCTCTGAAGGTCTCTGTGCCAGGTTTGGGCTTCCAATGCAGCGAGCTTTTTTGATTAGTCTGGTCTTTGCAGCACAACAGCCAGTTGCCTTTCTGTGAAGTAGATTATCCAGTGTAAATACTATCTCTGTGTCCTTGAGACACCCACATACTCACTGTTTATGGAGCAACACAGTCACAATGTCTACCTTTTGTGCAAATGATTCAGTGGTTGGGGCTGTTACTAATGTTCTGTGGATGGCTTACTTTAATAATCCATATTAGCATTTATTTGGAATCAATAACCACAACACAATGCATTCCAATGTCATTCCAATTTGCTCACATGGTTCATTATATATATATACGCACAAATTCATTGAGGTCTGTGGGGAAAACTTGAGCAGTTAATGTATCGCTCGTTGTGCACGTCTGATCTCAGATTTGACAGGTTGAGTTTCAGTGTTTGGATTACATGAGTGTTCCTGTTGTTTTGACCCTGAATCTGTCACTTGAAATGACCTCCAGAGATCCTGTATAGTTTTCCCTCTCCCTGCCACACCCGCCGTAGACGTCTGCACCACCCTCTTTCACCTTCCTTGGAAATGGAGTGTTGTCTTACCTGGTCGATACGTACATTTTTCCAAGGACCGCAATCACTTTGGTTTTACGTAGCTTTCTATATTTATCTCCTAAATCCATTAATATTTAATTGCTGGTATGAGAGGCTTATATTGCAAAGCTGAGCCAGCAAATGGATGCATGCAGCTTCAGTAGGCCTACTGTCTGTGGGAAAGAGTCCTCTCTCTCTCTCTCTCTCTCTCTCTCTCTCACGCACACAGTGAAGAGTGTTTGAGCATTTCAATGCACAAAAGAAACAGTGGGATACAAGTTGTTTCTGTGTGTCCCCCCTGTGTTACGGAGGGTGTTAATGGTTCAGTCTAGTGATGGGGCTGTGACATGAGTTTTGTGGGGTGGGGGAAGTTTTGATGAGGGTGAGGCGTGGTGGGGGGGAAATGACAGGCTCATGTGAATAAGATGTTTCTCTTGTGTGTAGTCTATTGAGACAGAACTGTTTACATGGCATAAATTTGTCAGCAACCCCTGCAAGGCTGACTTGGACCACCATTTTGATTTTATATCCGCGGTTAATGTGCATTTGCAAGGCGTAATGAAATACACACGAGGCGTCTCGCAAGGCCTTTGTGCCGTGCCCGCTGACATAATGAAGTTGCCATGACGGATGAGTGCCATTTATGCAGCCAAGTGGTGTGTCTGCGCTGTTTGAAATCTCTCCGCCTGAAATACCTGTGACACTCTGTCTGGCATAGATGGATAGATAGATAGATAGATAGATAGATAGATAGATAGATAGATAGATAGATAAGAAACCATCTGCTTAAAGTACCTTATCAGTAAGTGTGTCAAGTTGTTGGAAAGCTCCATCCGTGCAGAGCCTGTCAATTACGAGTTGATGAAAGTATTGTTTCCTCAGCTCTTGAACAGCCGTGCTTTTTCATCCCCGGAGATCCTCAGAGGAGCTGAGAAACACAGTGGAAAGTTTTGTGAGATTAAGTTGGCAGTGAGAAAAATGATTGTTTGGTCTGTGATTTTTCTTTTTTTTTCTTTTTTCTGTCCCCAATGTGCTGCATTTCAGACATATTGATTTTCATTCACTACGCCGGCAATATGCAGCTCAACTGATGACAATGTGGGTCTGTCAGTCAGCCCATCAGACGGAAATCTCTCAACAACAAGTTGATGGATCTCAAAGGATATAATGGCGTCTACCACTTTCCTGACTTTTCTTTCCACTTCTACATTAACTCTATTGTCTGGTCTTTTTTTTTTGTCTTGTTCCAACAAAGATGATGAACATAGCCAACACCCGCTACGCATCATCATCATGTTCATGTCCGTTGTGAACATGTTAGCATTTAGCCCAAAGCCCCGCTGTGGCACAACACAGTGTCTCAGATTTTCTATAGACTCCTGTGGTGCTGCTGCCCAGAGCTCATCCAACACGGTACAACAGCAGGCGTGCCTTATGACATACAGCATCATCAGCTGCCATTTTAGTTTGGCCAGTGTTCAGTGCGAGCGGTTATGTCCCATGACTGTGCTGGCAAGAGTTCCAGATACATCTTATGCAGCCACTTACTGGCTGCAGAGCTTATTCACTTGCGACTGTATGAAATACTTGAGAAGATTCTTTGAGCTTGATTGCTGCACAGTCTGACACCGAAAGTCCGCTTTAAACATTCATGCTAATTTTCCTTTTGAATCTTTCCTTCAGTGCTGTTATATAAGATTCTTCTATACCGAAACTCCAGAGCTGAAGTGCAAGAAGAACATAAAAGTCGGTTGTTTTGGGATTCAGATTCTATGCAGATGAGAAATGATGACTCACTGTGGTGTTCGACGATTTTAGATAAACATTTCTGTCCTCCCTAAAGGTCTTACGTATTGAATTAATTTGTCGATTTGAACCTAAGAGTCCTCTTCTCCACTAAAAGCTGTTATTAAAGTGTCTCCACCAGGTCTTTGTTTGCTGTTTGGGGGCTTATTGATGTGTAAAAAGGTGGACCACAGACAGTGTAACCCTGATGAACAGGGCATTGTTTAACTCGCTGAGAGAAACATGTTTTTCTGTTGGCAGTTTCTCTCACTCCCAGCATGGCCTCGGTCTCAGTCTAGCCTGTGCATTGAGAGGAACAAAGGCGTGATTTTTTTTCAAAGGCCTGCGAGCCTCGATGCCTACTGAGTGTGTGTTGCGCTCCACACGTCTGCAGTTCAATTTTAGACCTAACACCGCAACTTAAAATGTAGGTGGTTTGTCTGTCTGAGCTGAGTGCCCACTTGTGCAGTCAGAAACTATCAGCGCTACTATCATCTGCCAGCTCTTTTTTTTTTTCTCTTTTCCACATAATGCACCCGCCACCGGAGCTCAGGAAATTGATTCTCCAGCATTAACCTCCATTGAAAGTTTTGAATTCACAGATCCTGGACCTTCAAACGGAGCGCTATGATCTCACACGGCGGACCGCCGGATAGTGCATTTACATTGTTTAAACGACCTGAATGAAAATCAAATTACTTTCCTCTTGCTGGTAAAGAGAGCTAACAAGTAATTCACGATATGAAGCCAGGTGTGACTGGAACAAATCCGACCACAGAGAGCCATTAGGATGGCCCTGTGTATGCATGTTAACAAGATTTTTATTGATCCTTCTGCATCTATTGCTATCGCACACTGTGGCATTTGACTGCACGCTGAGTAAAAGGGCAATACCCAATAAGGCCCATTTGTTAGGGTTTAGTAGACTAGTTTAATGGCTTTTATCTATAGGGCTGATATTTCTGTATCCTGCATTTTGCCGCTCGGCTCAACCATCTACGGTTCTACGTCACCCTGAACCCCATGTGCTTGTGTGCACGGCATGACTAATCTGTGCTCCTCAGCTTTACGCAAGGACCGAAAAACTGACTCTCATTTTGCTCGATCACGATGAGGCAAAAAAAAATCCCCCGCTTTCCCTTCTCCTGTGCAGCATTGTAACGCAGTGCAGGAGGACAAAGTAACAGAAGCGCATGATAATACAACAGCTTTACGGTGAAAGTGTGACTCAGCAAGAGCCACAAGTGCAAAACCGACACGAGTGCGAGGTACAATACCAGCACATAAATTTAAGTCAGAGTGAGGGTTTAGGCCTCCTGCGAGAGACTGTAAAAGGTTTTAGTCTCTCCCTTACCGCCTGACCTTCATCCTGCTTGGCTTTCGCTCCTTCATCTTTCATCCTGTGCTCTCCGAGTCCCGGAGGATTCGGAGCAGAGCTTAGCACTGGATCTCACGGAGCTGCTACCTGCAGGCAAGGCTAGCCGCTACGCATTATATTCAGATTTGAAATTCATATTCATATTAGAATTCATGTTTTTGTTCATTTTTAGAATGAATTTGTATTTGTATATATTGGGGTTATTAATGAGTTGAGCACTCATAGTTGCAGATGTTTTGTGTTTCCTGAGCATTTTCTTCCATTCTTGCCCACTAAACTCAGCTTGCTTTTCCAACTAGCATCGCTTTAAGCTTGACTGCCTTAAAAGTGTTAAGTAGGCAATATCTGAGTGCATTTGGAAAGCTCCACTGTGTTGGTGTAATGCCTCTATTTGCGGGTTAATTAGGAGAGCATTAGAGTAAACAGGAGGTAAATCAGCAGTGTGGAGTCGCGGGGGAGGTGGGAGGGCAAAGACCTGCATGGGGTCTAGTTTTTAAGGGAAACATCAGTGTTGACATTAACATTTTAAGGAGCAGAGGGCAACGGATTTACTCTGCTCCAGGCACAAAATAGCAAGTGAGTTAGCAGGTTTTTCATCCCCGGTGTTTGTTTTAGGTTGATGCCAGAAACTGCAGGTAGAAAGACTGACTAACTTGAAAGCTTAATGATGAATTTTTAAAAAGTCTTGCAAGAAATCCTTGGCAATGATTCATCTTTCCTTGATGTCAGAGAATGACAACAAGCCCCGTCTTCTTCTAGTTTTTTATTAAAGGTCAGCTGCATAAAGTCTCAAGTGGGACGTCACTGTGCTGACTCGGTGGAGCGTTTTCTGTCGGATCAGCCCCGCCGTGTCTCATGTTGACCCTTTCAGTCTGAGCCAAACTTATCAGCTCAGTGGGGTTTAAGTATATTGAGACGGGCTTTAAATGCAGACAAGCAATAGGATGAGATGTTTTCACAAATCAGAGAAGGGAGGAGTAGGAATGCCCGCATGAGGTCTGAGAGCCAAGCATAGTGCAGCCAGGCCGAGGATTTAACTGCTGGCCTGTGTACATTTTTTACATCCTCAGGAATGCATTCCCCCAGTGCAGCTAGAATCTAGTTCAAACCGGGTCCAGTAGGTACAGTATGTTTAATCACAAAGACTTTCTGTCATGTAATTACTGAAAAGTCATCACAGTACAGTTTCATTTATAACGAGCAGCAGTTTGGTCTGAGCGTGTAACAATAGGAGGTCTTTGTTTTTAAGTTAAAGATGATTATTTTTTATAATCAGCTAGTCGTGATTAGGAAGTAGTGATTAGGACGAAAGCAAGCGGGGGGTCTGGTCTGGTCTGATGGTCAAGAACATACATTTGTCTCCTGTGTATGCTCTTTTAAACATAAGTCATGACTTGACAAACCAACACAGGATGAAACTGCAAGGCTCCTTTTGGGTGTTTCCAACATTATGCATATTGGATCCGGAAATTACCTTCATTCTCTAAATGCTCCACCGTTTGAGCGGAGGTGAGACAGAAGAGTCCACGCACCCAATTATGGTTTACTCCTTTATGTCATCCTCTCTCAGCTGATGAACGGAGATGGATTTTTAATGCTCCGCTGCTTCCGCCATTGTTAACTCTCCAGCCATGTTGAGCGGTACCACCCAAATACGGCATTCTTGCATTTTACTCACTCTTGTGTTTAGACCCCAGAGCGTGCACAGAAAACACATTGTTGCTTTGCCAAGTGGGCGGATCATCGAGTGACGCAAAGTCTATATTCATCCTAATTCGACAAAGCTCTCATTGAAGCTGTGTTTTGACATTTTCATTGGCCTCAGTGTGCCCCTTTGGGTTGTGGGCTTCTCGCTACGTGTTCTACTCTACGGGGACTTATAATGCATGAAATCTGCTCAGCTCAGAGAAATGTAAGATTTACCCACGTCTTTGATGGAAAGCAGTGGAGCAGTGGGCTTTTTGTCTTGACTGGGATTGATGTCGAGGAGGGGGGGCGGACTGTGAAATTGAAATTATCCTAAAGTTTAGCCGGCTTGAATGAACAGCTGAAGTTCTGTGACATTCACTGGCATTTTAAGTGTTGGTGTTGCAGGCTCGTGTGCAGGGTGGTAGCTCAAATCTTTTATTATTACTATTTTTTTCCCCCATAAAACCAATTATAAATGGATCAAACTCCACCAAGAAGAAAGGGTAGTCAAGTATTTGAAATATTTAATGCCGCGTATGTTCCGGAGAGCAGATAGGTGTATGGGAGTCGAGGGACTGATGTGTTTCCATGGCAACATATATGGTAGTCGGCAACGCAGGCAGTTGTGTGTGTGTGTGTGTGTGTGTGTGTGTGTGTGTGTGTTGCATGGTGGCTCTACTACAGTGGATGCTGTTTGTGGAATAATTGCTGCAGTGGCGTGGAAGGTTTATAGCCGATAAGAAAGAAAAGAGGGAAAAGAAGGTTGACTTTAAGTCTAGATAAAGAATTTACTACAGATTTGATTGAGATTTAAGATTGCTGGTCAGTGTCTCATTATCCTGAAATCACTAACTGATATTTACTCGAATATAAATATTGATTTAAATACAAATTTAAATCCCTGTGAAAGCATTGCCACACTAAATATGAACCATGTCATTTCATTTAGATATATAACATTATTCTATGTGAGACTGATGAGATTGCTTTCTGTTTTCAGGTAGTAAATCCCAGGACGGCAGCATCTCTGAGATGGAGGAGCTCCCTGTTCCTCAGAACATCAAGATCAGCAACATCACCTGCGACTCCTTCAAGATCTGCTGGGACATGGAGGCCCGCAGCAAGGAGCGCATCACGCACTACTTCATTGACCTGAACAAGAAGGAGAACAAAAACTCAAACAAGTTCAAACACAAGGTAACGCTGCAGGCAGATAGACGGATAAACACCTTGTTAAAAGGTGACAGCATGGCGAGATGACTCACCAAATGGCCTCTCGTTGTAGAGTCGATGAATGGAGGTTGCAGCATGTGTCAACAATAAGAGGTTTTCCATTGAAAAATGAGAAATCACAATGTGCCTTTTGAAACTAGGCAACGTGCCAGTAATAATTAAAACGCATCTTGAAGCACTCTTCACAAAATTACAAAGCAAAAATTATGAGTAATGCTCTCAAAAGCTTTGAACCATTTCATTATTTAACAAAGTAAAAGTCCTCTTTAGTTTAAAGCCTCTTTTCAAACAGGTGTGCAGCCAAGTGAGCGGGAACAATAAATGACATAATCAAGCTAAAAATAATTGTCACGTGTTGCAAAAGAGATGTTGTTGAGATGCAAGATGCACAAACATGTGAGTTTCCAAGTAAACAAAACATTTAGTATGGTCTTCCATTCACCAAAAGTAGAACAATATGTGAATACAGGCCATATTGGATTGATTTCTATAAATAAACATGCATACAGGTAAACAATTAAACCCTAATAGTTGCTTAAAATGGAACATATGTCCCACTTAGTAGTAAATTACAAATATAAGAAATTCAAAATCTCAGGAGATGAGGTATCTCTCTAAAATAAAATAATCTGATGTTCTTACACTTTTTCCATTTCTGTTATTTCTCTCTTCCTGCAGTGCTCTAGATTGCTTTGTCTGTCTGGCAGTGAGTGAGATTTGTTCCCCTCATGACCACAAGCCTCATCATATTAGCGATATAGACAGATACTGCGATGCTGTGAACATCTGGAGTTATGATAATCCTTGATCTTCGAAAAGTGAAACGACTGTTTTGAAGCTGCGACACCGTGTTTTACCTCAAGACGACCTTTCTTTTCGTGCCTGACGCAAAAAAAAAAAAAAGAAAAAGACTCATTTCAAGGCGGTTGTGTTCAAAGACTCGGCAGCGAGCTGTTGCTTTGAGCTCTGATAAGCTAATACCACTCGCACAGCCCCTTTCTGCCTCCGAGTAATTGCACCGGCAACACAGCGGCTCCTCCAGCGGATAGTCAGTGATCTGGTTTTGGTAATCTTACGGATGTGCTTCATCAGCCCTCCGTCCTCTAGTCTTGCTGTCACTTCCTAGGTGCTGCTGTCGCCGAGTGTTTCTCCTCTCTCTGCTCTGTTGTAGCGGGTAGACCTCATACTAGTATTTTGATTTCGGTGCAGAGACGGTGTTGGTGGATTAATGGACTGACTCTGTTGCTAGGCAGGGGCTCTCGGTCCAATCAATGAGCTGCTAAGGCCCGCTGATGCTTGGGTAGTGGGGGGTTGTTGGTGGGGGGAGAACACAATAGGTTACACGAAAATGAAGCCACAAGTATCACCTGCAGCCAGCAACACGAGTGAAATACATGGATACTGTGGGTACTGCAAATCCCTGCATGCGCCTGAAAGACAGCCATAAATGGAGTATCTCTCCCTGACTCACTCCTTCTCATCACCTCTCACCTCCTCTTTTTTTTTTTTTTTTTTTTCCATCCACCCTCTCCTCCCGCACTCCTTCCCTCCCTGCAGGATGTTCCTACCAAGCTCGTGGCCAAGGCAGTGCCGCTGCCCATGACGGTCCGAGGCCACTGGTTCCTGAGCCCACGCACAGAGTACACCGTGGCCGTCCAAACTGCATCAAAACAGACCGACGGGGACTACGCCGTCTCCGAGTGGAGTGAGATCATCGAGTTCTGCACTGCCGGTGAGTAACGCGCAGCTCACGGTGTAATGAATACATACATGTTCAGCATCACGAGCGCAGCCTTTGATTTCGACAGCGACCGACCGAATTACAGAGGACAATAACGGAAGAGAGAGGAGCACAGCAGAGTGAAGGATGGAGCACAATATTGGGGGATGAATATCAAAGAGAGGCTAATGTAACTGAGTGGAGGGAAAGATGGATGGAAAAATGGAGGAGGGGCTGATGAGGGGAAGAGGAGGATTAGAGGAACGAGGGGAGCTGTGCTGTATATCTTCTGATGCAGAGGTCACAGGGTTCAGCATCACTGGCGAGAGGCTTAGAGCAGGGGGGGGAGGGGAGGCGAGGGGAAGGAGATGATGGCATGGAGACTGGAGGGTAGGATTCATCAGAGAGGGTGGGGAGGATCATTCCTGTGGCCTGGAGATGTAAGACGGCATCCTTGGTTCAATTCCACTGTAGGATCTTTTGTTGCACGTTGCCCTCCGTCTGTCTTCACTTTGAAATGTCAAACAGCACTAAAGTCGACATGCTATGTGAGAAGCTAACTGCTAACGTCAGCATGCTGATAAACCATCCATCTGTCCATTAGCTTATAGCTGCTTTAGCATGTATTGGGTCACAAGGGCTGGAGCCTAAATCGATGCACTGCAGGGCTTACACAAAGAAACCAACAACAATGCAAACTCACAATCACTAATTAAGCTACCATACATGTCTCTGGACTGTGGGAGGAAACCACAGAAAACCCATCCAGGCACAGGGAGAACATGCAAACTCCACACCCACAAAAAAAAAAGATCTAAAACCTTCTTGCTGTAAAGCGACAGCGCCAACTTGAGGCAACTAACATTCACTAACTAGCACCTGAAAAATGTGCAGCTGAGGCTGATAGCAACGTCATTAGTGTAGCATTAATCGAAATATTGAACAAACACAAATTCTGACCTGATAAAGGTGGTAGAACTAGTTTATCAAAGTCCTCACAGTCCATCCAGAAGGGATCATGAATGTTTGCATCAAGCTTAAAGACAAACCATCCAATTATTGTTGAGAAGGTAATTGGATGGTTTGTTGAGACAGGCGGGGGGCGTGGCCAATCTGACAGAACTGACAGATCTGTCAGATTGGCCACGCCCATAAGGAACACCAAATAAATGACGCGTCACGGCGATCAGCTGACGCCTCTGAGGAAGACTGAAGTTCTAGTCGAAACATGTAAAGTAAAGAACCATCTCCTAAATTCTATTGTCTGAAAAGAAGGAACCTATAATTCAGAGTAGACAAAATGAACTTGCTAGACGTACTGTTGAGACATTTGACTCAAAACCGCAAATTTTGTGAACCTGCTACTGTCAGGAAATCGCCAAAGTTAGTCGACTACATCCCCTGGAGAGCGTGGATATTCATGCAAACTTTCCGTCTAGGAGTTGTTGGGAAATTTCAGTCCGGACCAAAGTGGTGGTGAACACAAATCTAAAAAAATCAAGTATCGCAGAGGGGAAGGGCCGGAGAAGCAGTTTAGATGGGAGGAAGGAGAACAGGCCGGGGAGAAGCGCATATGATGAAGACGTAGGAAGAGACAGCGATGAAGGAGAATGCCTAATGCTCCTCTACATCCCGGGTGGGCAAAAAAAACGTCCACCTTCCATTCCTGTAAAAGACCCGTCTTCAAAACAAGCACACCACATATTTTGACAGGTGCAATGTCAAATGCATTTTTCCCTCCTTATAGGCAGCCCTTGCTTCCCCTTCATGTTTGCAGCCTTCTGTATAAAAAAACAACCTGTCTGACATTAAAAATTTAAAGCATCAGAATACTGCATGTCTATTCAGAGTGCTGGGAATTTTACTGAGTCATCTGTGTTGATGTGTTTGGTGGTTGTGGGATGGAGAAAATACCTTCATCAGGATTTAAAAAAAAAACAAACATTCTGGACAAAATCCACACCCATTTGGCAGAGACGCTTCAGAAAATAGAATATATTACAGGCCTTGAAATGTTTTTGGTCTGAATGCTGAGTCACATCAACCTATGAATATGGAGAAATTAAGGAGGAAAGAATCTCAGAGTCCTTGATGCACTGTTCATATTACATCCTTCTTAGTGCATACAGTCACTCCCGCTTTTTACGTTTTAATAATTTAATGCCCACTAATGGCATTCGTACATTAGTTTCTAATCCTCCTCATAACGGCATATTGATTTTATACAGTGCTATGTGTTTGTATCCGTCTCCAGATTACTCCACAGTGCATCTAAACCAGCTGCTGGAAAAGGCAGAGGTCATCGCTGGGCGGATGCTGCGTTTCTCCGTCTTCTACAGAAACCAGAATAAGGAGTACTTTGACCACGCCAGGTAGGCGCACATTCACCCAGAAGAATAAATCATGGGAAGAACTGAGCAGTTAATCACTAAAGCTGCCTGATCTTTTTATATTATCACATATAAATAGCTGCATTCTTCTATTTAGCTATTGTGGGTTGTTTACACTCTTTCTTTCCAGTTTCTTTGCTTATTAAAATGTCACTGGCTGGATGATGTTACAAGTAGAATTTTGGTAATATGACAAGTAGTTTCATTGATTCGCGCGTGTACTCTGCTAATTTTACGACTGAGTCTCTCTTTTGCTTTGGGGATACAGCATCAGTCTCGTTTAGCAATTTAGTTTAGTGCTTTCTCGTTTTTTTTTCTATTTATCCTTGGATCATAACATTTCTTACTTTCTAGGATTGACTTTTTCTTAAATTCGGATTCTGGTTCCAGCTTGCTGGTCATTGGTGTTATTTGTACAGTCGTATTTTAAGACATATTTGACCAAATGACAGTTTGGGCCAGCGTTTCTGTATCTTTACCAGAATAAACAGGCTGGAGCACAGACTCCCAGTGTCTGTCTCACCCGTTTATCATCAGCAGCATTATGATAATATCATGTTTGGCACAATATTTAACATTTAGACTTATTATGTTGTTATTGTCATTCTAAAGAAATGTTTTTTTTTGTTAACGAGGCACCTTCTCAACACTCCACCTCATATATGGTTGTGCTCTTACTGACCTTAGAGCCACGTGATGCTACTTGATACTAACGTGACCTTTAAAGCTAAGACTGAGCCGCTGTTCGTATTAATATACTGCTGTGATAACAATGCAGCGATGCGGGCAGCATATTGATAATGAAAACATTGTGCAGAAACGCATCCACCGCAGCACCTTTCGGGCTACAAACGGCATGCCGGCCACGTAACTTTGGGGTTAATGTCTTTCCCTCCAGCTGCTGGAAGCCGAGCAAGAAAAAGATTCAGCTGGAGGGAGCAGCTGTACAAAGCATGCTGATTAGTTCCATAAATCCACACAAATACAACACACAACCACCACAGCAGCCAGACAATTCTTCCGATAACCACCTCTACACACACACACACATACAGCAGAAAATACTGTCAGTTTTCTTTTCCCTCAGCCTTACGATTTGTTTGAAACAAGCCAGAGCCTGGTGTAACTCTCCCCGACAATCGCTGACAGTTGTTAGGTGATGTGGGCAAAAAAAAAGGAAGAAAACAGGAGGAGAGAGCGATATTCTTGCAGTAGCTTACTACTGTTTACTGAAGCTGTAAACTATTTACTGTGCTGTTATGGTGTATACTGGTTTTTGTCCTGGTTTCGCGCTCGTACAAATTCTCCAGCCTCCTGTCTTCTTCTCCCCTTTTAACGCTGGTGGTGTTTTTGTTGACCTCACATGTCCTCTCCATCCTGTCCCTCAGAGGAAATGCACACCGCTTTACACAAAGCACATTTTCTGAACTCGAGCCACAGCTTGTGAGCACTCTTTTGTTGGCGCTGTATGGCATGACGTCACCTGGATAGTCTTTTTTTTTTCCCTGAGTTGCAGCCGTTACAGAAAGTGCTCCTGTTAAACTGCACCATCATGTGGGGAGCAACAGTACTGACTTTAGCACTTAATGAGGCCTCAGCTCCTGTGACCTGTGGTGGCAGCTGAATAGCTCCACAATGGCCACAACAAAGCACGAATTATGGATATAAAACCAACCCCTGCAGTGATAGCTGTATAATTACAGTTCATAATTAGAGATTTGGAGCTCAGATGCCGTCTGCGGTGAAAATACGCAGCTGCCAGAGTTTCATTCATCGCTTTGAATGTTCATCTCTTAATCTGAAAGCTGCTTTTGTTTCGCAGCAGTTTCTCATAATCTGAAAGAAATATTTTGTTTTTCAGCGGAGCAATTTTCTCTCAAAAGATTTCTGTGAGACAAACTGGTCTCGGCTAATATGATTACTGCAGAGCTCCAGAAATAGTGAAACTAGATACAGCACGTATTCCAGGCAGAGTTCACTTAGCTTATTGTGTTATGAGACTCAGGACTCGGGCTGCATCTTGCACATTTAATCAGCTTGTTTCCCAAGTGTCGCGCTGTCTCAAACACTCTGATGGTATTACACTGAAGCTCAGTGTCACTGCCACCTTGCATTTAGAAAATTACTTTGAATACAAAAAGATAAAATGCTATATTGGCCACAAATCGGCCCAAAAGGAAAACTGATGACACATTTGCTAACAGCCATGTTCATCCCTTTTTTTTTTTCTTTTTCCAAACTCTAGGGAGGTTCAAGAAAACCGGATGCTGCCGTCAGTGAAGGACAACAGCGGCAGCCACGGCTCACCAATCAGCGGCAAGCTGGAGGGAATTTTCTTCAGCTGCAACACAGAGTTCAACACAGGCAAACCCCCGCAGGACTCCCCGTACGGTCGCCATCGCTTCGAGGTCCGCGCCGACACGCTCTTCAACCCCGACACCAACCTGTACTTTGGAGACTTCTACTGCATGTACACGGCCTACCACTACGTCATTCTGGTCCTGGCACCGAAGGGCTCCAGGGGCGATGAGTTCTGCAAGCAGAGGCTTCCCGCACTCGACATCGGCAACAACCGTTTCCTTACCTGCAAGCAGGACGAAGAGGGGGAAGGCGGCCTGGTGTTTCACCACGCCCAGGACGTCATCCTGGAGGTGATCTACACGGAGCCCGTAGACCTGGCGTTGGGCACGGTGGCTGAGATCAGTGGGCACCAACTGATGAGTCTGTCCACGGTAAACGCCAAGAAGGACCCCAGCTGCAAGACCTGCAACATCAGTGTGGGACGCTAAGAAACAGCAGGATGTAAGCGAGGGAGAGAAGGACTAGAGGTGACTGACCTCTGCACACACAAAGGAAGTCCACATGTACTGATGAAGCAGACCAACACATGCATGAAGCAGCAGATTTCGTAGGCTCCCAGACATGCACACCGACATATCTCTGACACTGCTCTGTACTCTCAAGAGACCATCATTCCCAAAGAAGAGTGGAGGAAAAAAAAGAGGGAGGTACACACTCTAACACCTGCACCATTGTCTCCTCATCTGAAAAAGGTTACCCTACTGTTGAAAACATACCGAAAAATATCCCATTTAAGGGGCCACCAACTAAGAAATGTAACCCTGGGACACCAACAACAACAACACAGAGCCATCCATCCATCCATCCATCCGGCAAATCACACTGGCATACTGACCAAACCCTTTAACTGTACTAACAAACACGGGCTGCTTCAATTTCCTGTTTATTTTAATCAGTTGTCCCATAATTTATTAATGACCTTTGCCTTGTTATTATTGATATGCTGTTAACTGAGTGTCCACCGTCTGGCGGACAAGAACTTTGTTGTTCCTGATTACATTGACTATTTGTCTTTTTAGAAATGTTTTGTTCTCATTCCACAGTCGACGAATTCAGACTTCTTTTTACCTCCTACTAGTGGCATGGACTGGTACTACAATTTTCTAGGGCTGCAGCACCGATAGTCATCTTCGTTTATACCAAAGGTATTAAAAAAACCAGACAGTGAACTGCTGTGGAATCCTAACAGTACTAATGCAACAGCCTCTAAAATGTGTATTCACCAAGTCTTTGATGACCAAGCGTGAACTACTTGTTAACTTGTTATCCTTTTAAAAGACAAAAAAAAAAAAAAAAGAAGCATGATGCAGTTCTGTGCAGCATGAGTATGAAAGCTGTCAGTACCTCTACCATAGCAACCTTTTTACAACAGTCACTCTTATTTTATCGTAGTCAGTGGAAAGAAAGAAAGTAGAACCATAAACTGTGTTTAGCAGAATAAATGTGAAAAAATATTTATTTTTATTGATACATTCATATATATATATAGATATATATAGATAGAAAACTATATAAACCAGAAGTGCACAATGTCAAAAGCTCTGATCATTGTCAACAACGGCATTTAGGGGGGATTAACTTCATACAGGCAAAAAGGGGGCGGGGATAAACACAAATTTGACAGCAGATCATCATTTGCACTACGATGCCTAAGTTCACCGACATTCACATATTTTCCAAGGTGAACATGTTAAGGGTCACAATTTAGATCACTTATGAAATTCTTAATGCATATCATAGCACAATGTAGGACTAAAAATATCTGACATGCACAAACACTGCAGGATTGTCTCACTGATTGCATTTAAGCTTACACATTTTTTTTTTTTTGCCAAGATAGCACTTTTTAAAAAAATGCAGTTTCCACATTAACGCTGGACAAAGTTGTCCAAAAACAGTATTTTGGCAAGGGAAAAAAAAAGTGAGTAACAAAGTGCCATATTATACATAAAGTAAATCCTAAAATGACTCAAATGTAACTAACACTAAGTCGTTACAGCGCTTCATCTTTGACATAGATTTGTGCTACATAACGTACACTTGCTACATCAGGTTTATAATATTCAGACGTGTCATGAATGATAAAGGAAGTGTTTTTGGGACTTAAAAAAAAAAAAAAAAAAAAAAAAAACAGCATTTTATTCCAACTGTCACCAATTTCCATCAGTTTTCTTCATGTAAAGTGCATCTCCATATTGAGCATGGCATGAAACGAGACCAGACTCACCGGCTTCATGACCTAATTTTTTTCAAAAACGATCGAGTCCTGTTAAGTTAAAGAAAAGTCCCACTGTGAGCAACTCAACTTGTCTTGGTTGAGTCCTGTTGTTTACTGAGCAGGACCTCCAGTAGCCGGAGCTTCGCTTTGAGGTTCTTGTACTGGCAGTACTCCTCCGCCATTGGTCCACGGTCCTCTTTCTGACAAGCCCTGTTAACAACGCACGGAGGAGAGAAGATGCAAACAAAAAGGCAAAACTTTTCTTTTTGTAGTTACCAAAACAACCTGCAGCAGCTTCCATAACTGGTTGATAGTCCCTATGTTGCCTTACTCAGATAGCTTTGTACAGTGTGTATTGTAATCAAAAACTTACTGTATTTACTTTGGAGGACTAACATGTACAGTGCAAAGGATGTGTACAGTTCAGAGCAAACGTCTATCTCTTCGTCTCTTTCCTGAGCTCTCTGTGCTGGATTAACGTTACATGAGTGTGCATTACACTGTCGTACCATTACGATGGAATTTCTTTTGTGGATGTTTTTTTCTTTGTTTTTCACAAGGCATTGTTGAAAACCAAATGTTCCAAGTTTATTAAAAGACAAAATAAAATGCAAAAGCCAAGTACTTTGGATGCGCTGTGGGTGTGGTTTGTGTGTGTGTGTGTGTGACCAGTACCTGCCAGTCTGTGTGTAGAAATTGTCTTCAAAGTCTCGGAGTGCTTGGTGAAGTCTCCGCTTCTCTGCTCGAGCCATCCTGAGATGATCCAGTAATTCTGATCTGCATGAAGAAGGAATCCAACAATTTGTTAGATCTTTTATACCGTCTGCTAATGTCTGCATTAAGTACATTAATTAAGAAAAGATTAAAGCAAAAGAAACGTCATCTTCCAGCTACAGTTTAGCTCCTCAGTCTGACGGAAAAAATACAGTCTGTACCTTGAAGCTTCGTGCAGGGTTGCCATGGTGATGATCTGCGAATGGAGACCTTTCACCTCTTCCAGTGGAGACACCAGAGGCATTTCAGACGTTTCTAGAGAAGGCCGACACTTGGACTCCTCTGGGGACATACACCGGGAAGAGTTTATCCAAAGCGGCTGGTGCCTGGGGCTTCGTTGTTTGGGACGCTCTTCATCAGAGCCCTCCTCTTCCTCCTGTGTAGACACACAAACAGAGGGATCACTGTAGTAAATAAAAAATATGATGCAAGAGCAGAAGCCACATATCAAGCCACCATTAAAGTGAATATAGCAGTCCTGTTTATCCTGTTAGGAGTCAGCCACGATATGATTTATATTTCAGTTAATCAGCTCCCAATTTCAGTTTAAGCAATGCTTATCTACCTTTTTTCTATTTTTTTTGCTGAATGAACTGATGCATTTTACAACAGTTTGATTTTACATTCAGCCACTAGAGGGCAGAGAGACACTTGGTCACAGAGGCCATGTGCAGTTTTATCAGTGTTAATGAGTGAAATACACTGTGGTGTTTGCAGTTGTGGAGAATTTCCGCTAAAAGACTACCCACTCATCTTGACATTTAGAATCTAGGAAATGTTGCTCTTCCTAGCCTGAATGTTTACTCACGATGGTCGTAATGACTGCTGTGGCTGCAGACGACAGCAGCTGCTTGAGAAGACGGTACTGATCGTAGAAAGGTTTCATCAGGGTTCGCTCCTGCCTCGTACTCTGAAGACACACAGACACAAAGACGGGAACTGATTGGTTATTTATAGGAAAAAAAATTAATTCAGCAGACTAGAAATGAATGTTAAAGGAGAGGGAGAAGGAGAGGAGTACGAAATCGCTTCTGGCAATCAGGAAACAAATCAGAGAAAAAGAGTAATCATCCAATCCCAGCTTACTGGTCGTCCATGCAGACCCTCAAAGTACAGCAGACACTTCTGCATGATGGTCTTCTCCATGCTCATCTGGAAATGGGACATCTCCTGTACGTACAGGCACAATGAAGATTAATAACAGCTAGTTTCATAGTTGACTGCAACCTATAACATAGTGTACATTACATAAAATTGTTCACTACTTTTTCCCTACACAGATTTTTAGACCCAACAATCTGACCTCTAAACTCACTGCAATGTCTGTGCAGCATTTCTGCAACACCAACCTTGATGCTGTCAGGCAGGCCCAGCTCTCGCCGCCTCTCCTTCAACCTGTTGGTTATAATGTTGACTGTTTCTTCCACATTTGGTTTGGTGTTGCTGTTGTTGTTAAGTTGCTGCAGCTCCGTCCCTGTCGGTACTGCCTCCCTCTGGTCCATATTGGTCCTGCATGTTTCAGCTACGGGGTTGAAACCTCCCTGTCCTCTCAGTCCTGATTCTTCTGACTGTCTCAGCTTCATCTCTACGTAAAAGAACAGAAAATGAAAAATATGGTGACATGTAGAACAGGGATTATATAAATACAAACACTGATTTTGGTTTTGTTTACATTATTTATACTGGAAACATAAAGTGGTGGAAAGAAACTAAGTACATTTACCCATGCACAGTACTTAAGTAAAGTTACTTGTACTTTACTTAAATTGTCCTATTTTGCACTACTTTATACTTCTATTCCATTACATTTATGTGTGTAGCAGATGTTTCTTTTGTTTTTGTTTCCAATTAATAATCTCACAAACCTCAGAAATCTCTTGTTCCTCTTTGGAGGGGACTCAACATAAACAGTATTATGTGCATATAAAGCAGTTCAACTAGCTGGGCCATGAAGTTCTTCTGTTCAACAGTAAAATTAATTAGTAGAGGCAACTTTTTAGTACAGGTACTTTTATTTATGTTGGATCTTTATTGAGAAATTTTACTCATAACAGACTTTTTTTTTAGTGTCCTGATGGCACTTTTACTTTAAGATCCCCACTACTATTACATAAAAAAATATAATTTTCTTTGAACATAATATTTTGTATCTGACATGGTTTCTTCATAAATAAGTTAAATTAGCATTAGAAATTCTTAAAATGACATCTATGCTTTCTCCATTATTGAAATATCTTAAAATTTTAAACACAATTTCATTTCAGCAGCTAAACCATTAAATATAAGAGGCCTTTTATGGCACTGAAAGTTGAAAGTGTCATTTTAGTTTTTATATCACACTTGTATAGAGCTCCTATTGAACCAAGACCGGCTTTCAAATTGTTTGTGATGTTACAAATTCTGCTTGCAGGTACACACCTTCACCTCAGATTTTAATTGAGCTCAGAAAAACTTTTACTTATTGCGGATGAATTTAAACAAATTTTAATTTAGTGTCAAACTGAACCTACATCATTTAGTACAGTGAAGCTCAAATATCCAAGAGATGTCACCCTGACTGGCCGAGGGGAACTTTAAGCAAACGTCTTGATCCTTCTTAGACCACTGCAATCATCAATTCATGGGCGTGTGCGCCTCTGGTTGTATAACTGACCTTTCAGCTGCTTGCGACTCTTGATGAGCTCCTTCATCAGTCTGGCCACTTCTGGATGTGCTGTCTTGTCATTGTGGGCCGGCTGAAAAAAAACACACTCTCATCACCAACAGAACAGGGCCCATCTCTTGTATCGAGTACCTGGAACGGGTCTTTTTATTTTGTCTCTTGTTCCAGGTGTGTGTTGGTTACCAGCATCTTTTCGTGCTGCACCCCGTCAACCAACGGACTGGAAAGCCGTTGTGTAACAAACTGCCATGTCTCCAAAGTACCAGCAGAGGGGGTAACTCATCCTAGTCAGATGTTTCTGGTTCCTTCAGCAGCATTAGTAAACAACTTAAATAACACTAACACATCCAGCCAGCGTGTACTCAGACACACACAGAAGTACTGGCTTTTAAACTTCTGCTAAGTTCAAAAGCATTGGTGGCTCAGGAGACGTCTGACTTCTTCACTTACTTTATAGTGCTTCTCCTGTTCAAAGCGTTCCTCAAACCGCCTGATCTTCTTCCTCAGTGTGTGGATGTGTCTGTTGAGCATTGAGACGGACACAGAGCCCTCGTCTAGCTCCGTATGGACACCGCAGCGGGCCCTGGAATCAAAAAGTAGTCATTTACACACGAGAACTCTTGAAAATTTGTAATTTACTCCATAAAATAAGGACTCAAAATGTACATTACTTTAACCTAATATGGCAGCAGTATGGCAAGAACTTAAAATGTGAGAACATCTCTATTTGTCTATTTGGCTTAGGCTATTTTCAAGCCACTATTCCTGAATAAAGCTGATGACTAAACAGCTGTCTTACATGCGTATGTGCTGTGAGCACGGTGGGGACGGAGCTGTATCGGGGTCCAGGTTGTAGCGTAGGCTGTGGCTGAGGTTGGGGCAACGCGGTGAGGGAACGGGGCAATCGTTCGTCGTAAAACGAGAGAGAAGCGGGCTGGCGTTGGAGCCTGGTGGGCTCGGAAGGGTGTCCTCTCCTGAAAGGCCCTCAGAATAAGTGGCAGTAGAGGGGACAGGACTGGACAAATGTGGGGATGGGATGTGCACTGTAAGAGAGAACAAAGACAAAATAGTAACTGAACTCTATAGTAGTTATGACTATATTATACTTGTCCATTAGTGTTTGTTATATTTACAAAAAGGAGGACAGATGGGAGAAATTCAGCAATAGGAGAGAGAAACAGGGTTGTGGCAGGAAGAGAAAAAGACAAGCTAAGGTGGGAGGGACAAAAAAGAAAAACACAAGAAAAATAAATTGCTCTTTTCAATTACAGCTACGACTAAGTAATACATAACAATTATTTTTTTTATTTTAGCAGTGATGTCTATGGTTCAAAAACCACTATTTTCTTGAAATGTTAAGCCAGAACAAAATAAAGAACAGCAGGATTCTTCCTTAATAAAAAAAAATCTATATTAGTATCTAGAAATATATTTTTTTTAAAGTATCACTTAGACTAGACCAGAATATCTTCATTGTCTTGTGATGTGCAACAAAATTGGTCACTGGTCATCAATATATGTGCCTGTACTAACACCGGTGGCTATGAAGTGATGCAACAGTCGCTGCATTTTACCATGACGTGCTGTTACTCAACTTATCTTATAACGACGCACCCATCTCTGGGAACTGACAAAGCTAGCTCGTTTCCAAGATCTACTGACTGTAACGTGCACAAAAGGAATTACAGCAGCGAGAAAGCAGCTCTAAAAACAGACAGTAAATTAAATGCTAGAGAAAAAGCCACTGATACAGCACACTTTATATGAAGTGTGCCTCTTGTACTGATAAGGTTATGGTCTTGATTCTCAATGACATTCCCCTAAGCTGAAAACACTGTAAGGTGCTCTGAATAATATCTCCTAAATAATAACAATAATGTCCTAAATAATAAAAATGAATTTAAAAGTAATCATTGGGTATATGACTTGCAACCTCTACATCATTTTCCCCGTTGCCCTGCAGAGTAAGTGGAAAACGTTTAATACTGGAACCTAATTATTACCGTGTTATTGTATCGGTATCGTTTCATTGCAACTGTCTTACCAGGCTGCGATGAGTTTACTGTGTGCTGATCCTGAACAGGTGGTGACGGTGGCGAGTGAAGGAGCTGCTTTTGGGTCAAATAAAAGCTCTCTGCTTCAGTAGGAAAGGGTTGCTGCTGAGCGGGTAGGTTATCCTGAGCTTGGGGGTCTCCTGGTGCTGGAGGGGGGCCCGGGTCAGCCTCCAGGGCTTGTAGCTTGAGGGAGGGGCTCTGGAAACAGAAGCAGAACATGGCTTCAGGGATGCAGATGGGAAGGACAAGAGAAGTCAGAAAGAAGCGTCGTGGCTTGGCTGGAGGGAGTCTTTAGCGTTTCACAAGCCGCTCAACAAATCTTCAAGAAGTCCTGTAAAAACATTTCACTCTCTTCTTGTCCGCAGCGTGGTGGAGTAGAGATGAGTAGTTGCCTCGTCTCCCTGAGTAACGTAGGAGTCAAAAGGCAGAAAACAGCTCAATACAGGCTACAGTAGTAGTCCCAGAAAACAGAAAACAAATCTGTGATCTTGAAAAGTTCCTCATCAGTTACAAAAAGAGACGCAAAAGATCCTTCCAAACAGCACATGTGAGCACAAAAACAGACTTTCCTCTGCTGTGGCTCCACTCAGGTCTCTGTGCAACAGCAGCTAGTCAACCGACCGAGCACTCGACCAGCTAGAAATAAATCCTGTTTTCAGTCGTTAAGTCAGACTCCTAATATGCACCAGCATCCAACACGGGATCCCTGTAATTCCAAAACTGTGTCACTGTGATTTCCAGATCACCTGATGCGCGCGTTTACGTGTGTGTGTGCGTGAGTGAGTGTATGAGAATACGGCAAGCCCTCGACGAGAATCCCTACATCCACATGGTTTTCCTTCTGACCGGCATTCCCGACAATTCTGCTGCCGAAGCGCCTCCACATGGATTATTCATCAAGCACGCAAGCAGGGGGGCGGCAGGAATACCTCTCACGTCCTTGCGTGGGGTGGGGGTGTGTGTGCGCACTGGAGGACAGAGGTACTGTATATGACGAGGCGTTTCCACAGCAACGTTGTCAGGCCGAGGCAAGGAGTCTATTTGATGGAGCTGCGGGGAGTCACGTAGCTGTTTGCCTCTGTGAGCGTGTTTCTGTGCAAGTGGGTGTATGTGCAGTAAATTCAGATGCAGTTGGGCAGAGGGAAGGAAAAAAAAATGCCCCTGAGCCGCAGCAAAAAATATTCTAAGATGAGTGAGGAGGTTTGAATATAAAGTAGATGTCGGTTTAATTTAGGTGATCTGACACCACTCTCACCATCATCAACAGCAACAGCAGCAGCAGCTTAGGATTCAGGCTTCGCGTTTTCTTTCTCACCCTTCTTGGCTGTTCATTCACAAAAAAAAAAAAACACTGCCTTGTGCGTCACACAGAGGAGGTGGAAGGATGTAAGGGAGGGGAAGAAGTGAGGCTATTATTACTGAAGCAAAACACCCACAGGCAAAGAGACTAACACCTAGAAAGGCACATACTTGACAGGTGTGCACATAAACACACACACACACATGCTTACACACACTCCTAATTGGAGGTATTGGCCTACCCTGGTGTCATGGATACCCTGTGTTACTTTGTGTGTCTACAGGCTGTGCGGAGGGAGAACTTACGTCAGAGCAGTTGTTCCTGCCTCTGCAATCACAGTGTCTGTCAGGAGAAACACCACATCCTCCTCCTGCTCCTTTCCTTCCCTGGAGGAACAGAAATGATCACTGACGAAGTCTCAAAGCCCACGAACTGACACACAACATGTGGGAACACACACCCGTGCGCACGGATCAGTGTAGTGAAGGTGACAACGACATATGTAGATATAAATGTAAATTTACAATATAGATGTAAATTTAGTCACAGTCAAAGTTACTTTATCATCAGTTCTGCCACACGTGTACACATCCAGAGAACTGAAATTGAATTTCTTTCAAACCCTCATTTAAAAAAAAACACACAGTTAAAAAACATATATACTAAAAAATACTGAAGCTAAACATATAATAGGCCAAAAAAATATACAGTCTAGACCTATAATCAGCTACAAAATATACAATTTAAACATATAATAGGCTAAAAATATAAGTAAACACAAAAGAGAACAGAAGAATTGAAGTCATTGCCTCAGATTGGATAGAAATTACCACCATTGTTATCATCATCCAGCTTTGTAACACTCAACACTGTGAGTCTTTAACAACAGCTAAATAAAGTCTGTACTTTATTGTCTATGATCTGCCAACCTCTGTAGATGCCAGTGCTAATGAATATCTGTTTAGCAACAGCTTCTCTATTTGTATCAGTTCAGTAATTAACTGAAGATTAACATCACTTTGAAACTTTCATTTTTGATAGAAAATCTTACAAACCCTCACTAAACTTTAAGGCTCTCTCTGTCTCAGTCAGTGGTGGATTTTTTTGTGCATTTTTGTGATACACTTTGCTGGCCTGCAGCCTGGGGCTTTCTTTTTTCTTCTGTCTCTGTAAAGCACTTCGTTCAGCATTTGTTGTCCTTAAATGTGCCCTATAAATAAACTCACCTGACACAGATTTACAGATGCACAGACCTGGCTACAACAGAATTTTTATGTGGTGGTATAAGGACAGAATTTAAACAGGAGGCTGTGAAAATGATTTGGAGAGAGGAGCTACATTGTTCAGAAAGACATGTTTACCTTCCACTCAGACACTGTGGATTTGTCCTCCGTCTGGTCCTGCTGCTTCATACAGCACAGCCGGCTGAAAAACAAAATTCAGTCAACAGCGAAACAAATTGAAATAAGAAAATAACTATAAATAAAAGCACCATTAAGTATTAATTAAAAATATCATGATTTCTGTAACAACTCTCTTTCTAGATTAATCAGCTGTGTCTGTGTGACTTTAATAAAGTACACAATGTGCACTGGCTGTCTTAATAATCAGTACTATATCAGATGTGCTCACAGACAGGACTATCCACTGCTCTACGTAGCTCTTGTGGCCAGAGGGTCATCTGGCACTGCCATTAAGGTTATGGCTTAGTCATGTGTGACTTCAATGAGGCATAACTGAGATGGTCTGTCCTGTGGCTCTGTGGAGACAACGCAAACAAAAAGTCACCATGCCAACATGCTAGGTCGATCGAATCGAGCTGGTTGCTCCGCTCGCTCCACGTGAGCCCCTGTGGCAAGTCGATGCTATTTGGACTGGAATCATATCAAAACCATGACTGTGAGCAGCACACTGATCCCATAACCTACTTCTCTGCTAACTGCGGGGCTTAGAGATGAACTGAACTGAGCAGAAGCAGAGGGACACAAAAAAAACAACAGTAGCATTCAAAGGAATCAGATAAAATGAAATCTGATAGACTTTAACTGATGCAAAGCCACTAACACGACCCATTTAACAACAACACTTCTCTCTAATTATTGGCTGTGGTTGAATTTTTAAATTTCAAATAGTTAATACAGAGGAATTAGTCATTTCATTTTTACTTGGATGTTTTGGTATTTGACAAGCCTTGTGAGCAAATAGTTAAAAAGGAGAACAAAGCAGAAACGAAAGAGGAAAAACACAGCTGCAACAAAATGTCATCTTCTGTATCTTCATGGAGAAGCTTTCCTCTCACCTCTCTGTGTGCTGAGTGTCTGTTTGGGTTTTGAGCTGTGATTCATTCACTTTGCAGCAGTCTGAAATAGATGAATTCTGCCCCGTGGAAGCCTGAAAAACAGTTTAGACATGTCATACAACCTTCTAGACACCCACTGAGCTAAATGATTTTCCACTTTAAACATTGAAAGTGAACATATACTACATTACCTTGTTTAGCACCATAGGAGTATACCATGAAGCAAGACTAATAGGTTAGCGAGGTATGGTGAGTCTGAAGTCACAGCTGTCGATATCACAAAGGTTGCTCTATTGTAACCTGCTAGATGGTAACTAATGCTGCAGAGCAAACATGCTACAGCAGGAGCTTATGTTCAGAGTTTGGGATTGTAAGCTGCTGAAGGAAGCTCCAATGTTTCACCAATTCTTTTCCTGACCATCGTCTTTATAAGCAACAGATTTTTAGTTGAGGAAATACATTACATCTGCAAACCTGTTGAGTTGTACAATGCCACTAAAAGAACTGTGCAGTAGGCAACCTGCATGCATTCAGACGGTAATGCAGAAAATGCAAAAATATGTTTTTATGTTTGGTCCTGATTTACTATCAAGTCCATTTCACACTACTGATATTACAGCAAACAGAACAAAAGTCTGAAAACTGTTTAGTCTATTTGTATTTATCACAATAAATGTTCAGTCAGTAACATGAAATTCATTTTGATCTGGCAAAAACCTCAACATGTCCTTTATTATGGGACAGTGCTAGACCTAAATGAACTCCTTGATTGTCACGTTTACCAGTATGAAGTTTAAATTTCAAGAGCTCTGATGTGCATCGTTCACGTTCGAAAAAAGCAACAGCACTGAGAGTACACTGAGTGCTAAAGCAATATTAACTTACACTTTTACATTATTCCTTTCTTGCATAATTTGCAGGAACACCGCAACACTGTGTGGTTCCATAAATATTTATATTCCTAATTGCTCTCTGTTCTAACAGCCTAACTGAAGTAGGCAGCACACAATCGGTCCATTTAGTGTGGAAGAGGAGTTAAATGAGGCATCAAACGCCACCTTTTATCTGAGTTGACAGAGTCTGCTGAAGAAAAGTTAACCAGTAACCTAAAGTTAAGAAAGTTAATTATCACTGCTGTGATGCCCATTATCTCTGTTCAGGGTTCTTGGTTTTTGTCAAGCCAGCTAACACAAAGAAAGCCTGGCTGTGATGAACTTGCTTCATAGTATACACCTCAGCTGTCTGTAGATTTCCAAAAAGAAATCTACAGCACTGCATAAACACTTGCTGATTACTTAATTTTTACAACTAGAGATAGTGAGAAACTGTAGCATATTGGGTGCAAAAAAAGGAGAGAGACAAGAATAAGAAAGAAAAAAAAGCGTGAAAAAAACAAGAAATAAATAGCATGAGAGCTAAAGCATCAGCAATGCACACCGTAGAGCAGTTGTCTTTGATAGATGGATATGCTGTCCTTCTATCCTCTGTTTTGTTCACTTCTTCCTCCTCTTTCTTCTTTGACATGGAGGTGAGTTGTGACATCTGTGAGAAGGTCCTGGTGCTAAAAACAAAAATAATTAAACTGTACATGATTTGAAAGTGTGAATATTGATTGCATATATATAACAAATTCCTGTACTAAATGGGAAAATCCTTCTTATCCTCTTAAAATTACATGATCAGATACAAGAGCGTTTTTAAGAATATCATCTGTGTGAGGTGAAAAAGGGAAGACAAACAGGAAGGACACTCACCCTTGCGTGGTACACTCCATCTTCGGCGGCTCCCCCTGGAAGCTTTGAAATGGGCTGCTCTGTGGATCTTGGTCTGTTCCTGGGTCAGTGGGGCAGGAAAGCACACCGCCTGCCTCCACACTTTCACTGCTCTCCTCCAGAGCCTCCTGGTCTGCAATCAGCTTCTGAATGTCAGCGCTGACGTCAGAGCTGGTTTCACAACCCTGCACCAGTGTGTCAGGTCTGTGAAGAGACACAAAGAGAGAGGATGAGATAAACTGGCAAGTGCACCAACAGTGGGAGGTGAGGAGAAAGGAAAGCCACTATCGAATGAGGCATCCCTCATAAGAACACAGGAAGTCACGAATAGGAACTGCTATTCTGCAGCTACAAATGCTGTTGAGGTCATTCCTGATTCTAAGGACAATTTATCGAGCTGTCACCAACTACTTCCACATGAATGCATTTTGGTTCAAATGCTCAGTGTGCCTTTTATCCAGAAAGGTGGTGGTCAAACAAGCCACTCTAAAAGAACAAGAAAGCTAGCTAAAAAGACAAATCAGTTGGCTGGGAAAACATACCAGGGATTTCAACAAAATGGCAATTCAAAATTATTTTTTACTCATCATTTATTTCTTATGTATAAAGCAAATTTATAAACCATCAAGAAAATGTTCAATTCAACACATTGCAATGAGCAGTTTAGAAAGAAGGTCTCACAATCAAAAAGGTAAAAATGGCAAAAAAAAGACAGAGCGAAGACCACAACAGCAATGAAAAGAAAACGAGTTAAAAAGAAAAAAAGAATAGGTGATATCTCAGATAAAAGAGGACTTTTCTTATGACAGAAAGATACCGATAGATTGACTTGAAGGCAGTAAATAAATATGAACAATTCTAACCAAACCTGTGGGGTGATAAAGAAAGATACTAAAAGTGACACAGTATAAACAACGATAGATCTCTGTCAGGTTAGCAGGAATACAATACATGACAAACATCAGTTTATCCCAGAGAAAGCAGCTAACCACTGCACAAAAACAAACATCCAGGTAGTTATGAATCAGCGGCGTTTGATCTCAAGCTACACTATGACACATCTCATGAAACTCTAATGAGCAGCTCCCAGCAAAAACAAGCAGAACTGATTTGCCAAATTAATTATGATTCAACTTCAATATTCCCTTTTGTCGACATTCGTCATCTAAATTGAGGCTATTCAAAAGTGACAACAACACACATGAATGAACAAATGGACAAAAGCTGCCGACAAGCCCAAGTGTAACTGCTGTTCTCAAACCACAGATTCCCTTGTTGGTAGATACTAGCACACTGAGAACAGCTGTAGGTTTTTGACCCCTGCACATCCATCTCTCCGAGCATAATCATAACTTGCATTAGCTCACTCACATGTGGAGCACTGCAGATCCATGACTGTTGTCACTGACGCTGAAGCAGATCATACACGAAAACATCCTTTGACAGAATTCCTACACTGACAGCAGCCTAGCGTACAGATTACATGTGACAGTAAACAGCTTGTTGCTCTGAAGGGACAGAGAAAGCCAGAGAAGAAAAGAGAGCACAAATGATTAGTACTTAATGGTCAGGAGTGACGGCCGCAGGCAGAGAACTGACCCACCCACTTCAATTACCCGTGCCCACACACACACACACACACACACACGTCTGTACAAGCGCGCAGACAGACTGACACAAATATGAACGCGCAGTCACAGGCACTTAGTCATATTTAAGGTCAACAGCGGCAGTTCTAGCACTGCAATAAAGACAGAAGTAGGACAGGAAGGCCAAGACAAGAGAGCACAAACGTAATCACACTCAAACACATTTAGTTTAAATTATGATTGATGTGTGCAATCACACGGAGTTCAAAACTGAATTTTAAAAGAGTGACCTAAAAGAGAAGATTTTAAGTGAATGTGACATTAAACTCTATTACACAACATGTGTTTCTTGACCTATATATCAAGACTTGACCTGGAAATGGAGAGTTTTCTGAATACAAGAAATGACTGACGTAACAGGGTCATTTATTGAAAATATAATTGAAGCTGACTGAATACATGGTATTCTTTTTCTTGGAAATTTTATCTTAACAGTAAAAGACAGAAAAGAGAGGCTTGTTTTGAAATCATACCCAATGCAGGAATAATTAGACTAGAATCGATATAGACCATGACATCAGAGGGAGGCATAGAGGTCGACACATGGCCAAACAGAAACAGCATGCAAATGCCAGCACGACTGTAAGCACAACAGCCCAGTGACAGGATCCAGGATGACAAGGGCACACGCAAATAACCAAAACCTTCAAATAGACCTAAGTCAAGGGTTTTTATTACAGAAACCACGAGAAATACTCGGTCTGAATTGTGTGCTGCTGCTGCTCCTAACAGGAGGGTAATAAATAAATAGACCAACAAATCACATTGTCACTCCCTGACATTTACTGTAGTTATTTAATCTGGACTCCTTCATGCAGTTGAGGAAACAGGAGCAGTTAAGAAAGACAAAAATCTATGTACTTTTTATTTCCTACATTTTATTGGATCTAGAAAGCGGGCAGTTGGAATGATGCAGCACTTTATGCTTGCAGCACAGATGACAGTGGGAAGCTGTTGATGAAAAATTATTGATATTTGTTTGCTTTGTGAGGACTAAAAAAGACAAACAGAAGCAGTGAGAACACATAAAACCTGCTTGGTATAGCTTCTACTTGAAGCTTGTTACTCTTCCTCAGCGGGCGTGACAGATTTTACAGCTTAGAATCCAATATATGGAGGTGGAGTGTCCCCATGTGTCCTTGTTGTATGAAATGATCATGAGATGATGCATCTACAGAGCGTGCCAAATCCCTGGGTAAGAAGTCCACATTGTAAACAGGTTTTGCTCTGGGTTAAATGAAGACATTGCTTTGGTGCCTGGTGTTAATGAGCTGACGAACAAAAACAGTCATTTGGAAGGTAGGCAGCTAGAGGGAACATCAACATGAGCTGTGGAGAGAAACAGAGGACTGCGTATACGAGTATGCTTCTATTCAAATACCTAGACTGCCACCCACCCTTTCCTGTGTCAGCTAGGAAATACACAAAAAGCACATTTCATGCCACCTATTCCTCTTCAGCTTTATCCACTGATGACTCCTCTCTGAAGTGACACAAGTGGGTCATTTAACAATCGGCTGGGCAGCCATGCTGCTGCCTTTGAATATTTTTCTGACTTTCATTGCATTTTTGGCTTTAGTCCACAAGGACTCTATGAGCAATACCTCATGCTTGTTTTCAAATATAATCCTAATTAACCTGACTTAGACTGAGGACATCCTTTCATCATCATAAAATAAACAGAACCACAACCATAACTGCTTAAAATGACAACAAGAAATAGTTTTTTTTTTCTCTATTAGCTTTAAGCAGAGCTCAACATACAGAGTGAACACAAACACACAACTGTAATCATACATAAACAACAGTCACAACATTCATCAGCCAGTGCATGTGAATGCAATGTTGCTTGCTGAATATGGATGACCAAATACAGAAGAAGGATAAATGTATTTTTTCGGCTGTACTGCGACCTCACAGCAACCCACATTCACAGTTTAAAAATAGAAAATAAGAGTAGCCTCCAAGTTCTGCGGTGGAAAAGTTACCCGCAAGCAGACAACTGTCAGCACATATAGATTCTGTCTGGAAGACTGATTTGCCATTATTCCACCTCTCCGCTGCTTCTAGCAGCTCTATTTTACTGGTCATTAGACTGAAAGGCCACTTAGCTGCACAAGCAACAGCTGGTTTTCTGGTTGACTGCAGAAACTGGGTGACAGAGTTTCAGTACTGAAGAGTTGCGCTGTACCCGACAGTGTGCTGCTACTTGCCCTAAAAGTAACTGAACTGAATGATTCTTTTTTTTCCAGCAAATGTTGTCTACTGCCACTTCTGGCTTCATCATCAGTGAAAAGAAACTAGTCGGATATTGAATGAAAAAATAATTTAACTATAGTCTGATAGAATTTAGTATTGTCATGAGATTTTTCTTTAGTAACATATACGTGTGTGTGTCGCACTAAACAGACGATTCAAAAACAGCAGTGGTGTTATTTGAATCCATTTCATAATTAAATGTGTAACACACTAATGAAAAGCTCTATTTTCCAGAAAAGAAGCAGGACTGCTTGACAACGACAAAACTAGGGGACACAATTTGACCCCTTTTAAACTTCCATGAGAACACAATGGAAAGGCCCCCAGAGATTGGCCTTAATTCCCTATGAAAGATGTCTCAGCCTTCACTTCACCAATGGTACAACCATCAACCCGACAAATGGCTAAACAATGCCGCATATAGGGTGAAAATGCCACAGGCCAAAAGGTCGGGTTCTAATTATTCCCTCGGGGACAAGATATTTAGTGAGGGTTTGTGACAGTCCAGGCAGAAAAAAGCATGTTTACACAGCTACAGGACATAATTATAATTAATAACGGATCTTTGCAGTCGGTCAGTCAGGGGCAGAGTCAGTTATAGTCACAGGCACCTATGTTTGTAATTGTTCATGACTTAACTCTGTCCCATCCATTTACTGCACCTGAGGCAGCGTTCACTTAATCTGTTGCTCTGTGTTCGTCACATAGCTCCCAGATTGACCTACTGTGGATCTGCATCTTATCTTCCCCACCTCCTGAGCCTGCTTCTGCATCAGCAAAAGACAGTTTTCTTTGTTCATATTGTGTTCACTCATTCCAATGTTGTTAATGTCATGCTCCGCCGGGAGGGTTGTGATCTGAGGAATTCTCTGTGTCACGCTTGCTCAGATTGTTTCACAGCTTCACTCGAGCAGAGTCACAGTCAAACACAAATGTGCATCATTCTGAACTAAATGGTTATATCTGATGCACCCCACATATCTATCTATCTTTATTGTGTGCTACAAACATACTAATGCTACGGTGATGGCAGTACCTGTTGAGATGAGACAGCTTCCCTATGGTTTGGTTAAAAGCTCTGGTTGTTGAGAATGAGGCAGCCTCTCCCTCCGACCTCCCCACACTGCTCAGCTCTGAGTGACAGCTGCTGGGTCGGACCTACCAAGGACAACAGAAGTGAACGCGCATTACTAGAGGGAGATAAGAAAGACACATTTTTTGTACAATCCTACTTTTAGTTTAAATGTATTTAATATACCGAACAATAGGAGACCAGGGTACCCAGGTATTTCTGTACATCTGGGTTACCCAGTCCCTTGAAAACACACCGCAGACGTTGGACAAAAATGTAGGAAATGTAATGTTTTTGTACTCTTGCCATCGTCAAACCTAAAAGCTGTGAATAACATGGGAAATGTAGGAAATGATTTCTTTTTACAAGTTTTTACAAGTGGAACACCTCGTTTTGTGTGGAAAACATTTTGTGACAGGTATGGTGCTGTTTTTTTTTTCCAAGCCTACCATAAAGCTTTACAAGTTGTCCTCAGATCTAACTTCATTTTACCTATATATGCATATCGTGTTGTCAGTCACTGTGCCACATTCTATCATAGTCTATGCAGGTCGACTGAGTCATGTTTGCAATAGACCTTGGACTTAACAGTGTGCTATCTATAACATTTTAAACAACAATATTTTGCGTTTGGACTTGTCAAATGGCAATTCAATAGTCACTAAACATTTAAATTGATTGTATGTGCAGTTACAAGCAGACCAGGTTGGACAGATTAACAGCCTGTTCATGTGGTTTGTTTGTGTGTTATCTGTAACTTTTGAACCACTTTTTGCTTCAAGCCTTGTCAAATGGCAATTTGATTTAAATTGGTTTTAAATATAGTATAAGCAGACCAAGTTCAAAGAATGAACAGAGGACAGTTTGACAGCTACCACAGACCACAGACATGTGGTTTTGTTTTCACCTAGATGGCTCAGATGACATTGTCTACCGGACCCTAATGTCTTACAAACATTTGTAAATAATGTTGCTGCCTATGTTCTGTGATTATATCATTTATTGCAAAGTTAACATAATACATATACTTAAATATGAAATTTCAACAATAATGTAACTATTTCTGTGAAAGGGATTCACCTCAAAGTGTGAAAGAGCAGAGAGGGTAGGAGGAGGAGGTGAGGAGGAGGCCATAGAAGAAACTACTGAGTCTTCAGTTGTTGCTTGAAAGAGAACCTTGTGATGCCTGAGAAGTTGTAGCAACAGGGCATTACACACGCTCTGCTCCTCCAGCATCCTGGGTCCTGCTGGAACACTGCATGGTGAGGAGATAAGGAAACAACAATACAATGTCATACATAATATGTACTGGGTACTCAAAATGGTCTCTTTTTAAGAGTGGTTAGAAATATAAGAGAAAATGTTGCCATCTAGTGGAAGGAGGCATATACAGCAGTAAACTGAAATGAACACCTACGAAGATAAAATTCCCAGTTACAAAAATAAACTGCCATGCAGTAAAAGACAGTTTCTGTATGGCTTCTATAAGGCTTCGCTTTCATATTGGCATGCTACTTTAAACTTCAGACATATGTAGGGAGGTAATCACCCCCTCAGACCAAAATAGAAGGTCTTCACGTGTTCACGTGGAAGCTGCGATTTGTTTTCGATATGCCATGCTGTCGTTGGCATCACCCATTCTGTCTTTAATTAGGCCTTATCCAGTCTATATATGGAAAGCAACGGTTAACATATCATACACACAGTGAAGAGAATAAGAAAAATTATTAATATTATTAATAGATGTGATGCTTATATGGCAGGCAGGTCAGTTGGAATGACAGGACAGAAGAAGTCTGTCACATGGATTACATAACAGACACATATGAGGGGAACAGGCTGTTTATAAAGAGGCTTGGATGACAAATATGCATGAGTTATGGGGAGCAGACGCTGGCAAAGAAGCTGTCATACTTGCTGCATAGCAAGAACATGTGTTACAATGTCTGTCATTGCCTATAAATAACCTCGAAATGGTAGCAATATTATTGAAATACTGGGGCAAGCATGTGAGTATATATATATATATATATGTATATATATATATGTATATGCTTAAATGTAGTTTGAAAACTAAAAGCTATTATTCTGGACTGATTTTTTGTTTTGCGGTATGTACCTCTCTTTCATTTTCAAAACATCTTTCATTTAAACCATTACACCATTCCTAAAATCCCCTGTTGCTTTTCTAATTCCTGTGGCACAAGAAACAAAAAGCACAGAATATTTTCCAGCTCTCTAAAGCTACCACAACTGAAACCACCCCCATTTCTTCCCAAACTTATGTTACCACACCCCCTAACCAACTCCTAATTCTCTGGTTATAATCATCTGACATTTCCCCCTCAAATGCATAATTTTATGCCGTGACTAACACCACATTCCACTGACATGCCGTTAACTCTCAGAGAAAACAGGGGTGACACAGGCGAGACCGGGAGATCAAGGGCTGGCGGAGCGATTTAAAGGGTGTCGACTGCATATAATAATTCCTTTCGAGAGTGACAGAAACTCAAAGTCGAACTCCACGCAAGCCTCCCCAGAGAATGTGTTTGTTTATAGTGATGGCTGAGTTCTGTAAACAGGAAGGGAGAAGCAACCAGCAAAATCCTGATGACCTCTGTTATATCTGTCTGCCTTTCTGTGTGCCATGCTTTGCGTTATTAGCCACAATCCACACCCATTTCCTGGAAGGGACTAACCCAACTCCACACAACAGACACAATGCGGACTATGATCTAGGCTAGACACTTGGTGGGTTAACCTTCTGACAAACAAAGTGTCTTTTGTTCTACATTTGGATCTGACAAATAAAGATTGTAGAGAAACCATAACGACCTCTTTCTCTTCAGAACTAAGTGTGAAACCAGCATTTCAAAATGTACATAGAGGAACAATCTGTCCTAAAGTTATATCAAGACAAATCCCAAATCAACTGTCTGCTCAAGGGTCATTTCAGGACATACCCAACTGTGCTGATTTGATTTGAGGAAACCCGTGTCCTCCTGCAGCTCTGGAGAGAATGTGAATGTGGCATTAACAACAGCAACTTACTGGAATATACAAGGTCCAAAGATGGTTGCCAGATTTTCCACGGGCATGTGGTTTGATTGGCTGTGAGCCGCTACTCTGGACAGAAAGTGGATGAGGTAAGACAAAATAATGAGGTTGTCATCTGGGAGGCAGCAAAGGTTTTCCCTCAGACTTTGGTTCACCTCCGTCTCATCTGTATATCCTAAAAATAAGCAAACACATCAAAACAGAATTTCTTAACATGCTCCTTAATCGCTAGTCTGTGATATCAAAGGATTATACAATATATGACCTATTGCATTCATGTAGTTGATGTGCAAACAAAATTTGCTAATATGAGACATCCAATAAAAGATAACCAGCCCACTGTTAAACTATATATAATTATTATGCACATATTATATAAAATTGTAAAGGAAGTCACGCTGAATTATGTATTTTCTCTTATAGATGGTTTTACTTTGAGATGTATCTTGGCAGTAGCATGTTACTGAGTAAATAATCAATCAGCTAATCAGAGCATAATCATTAGGTTAAGCCAGGGGTGTCGAACTCTGGTCCTCGAGGGCCACAATCCTGCATGTTTTAGATGTTTCCAACACACCTGATTCAAATGATCAGCTCATCATCAAGCAGAAGCCTGATAACGATCCTGATCATTTGAATCAGGTGTGTTGGAAGAGGGAAACGTCTAAAACTTGCAGGAACCGGAGTTCGACACTCCTGGGTTAAGCAATACCTGATGAAGCTGTTTCTATTGTTACTGTATATAACAGGAACACTTGAAGCACAGAAACCAACTAAGACTAATTCATATGTATCTATAAGCCACTGTACACTCAGTTTTGTTTCCACTTCTCCTTCCTTGTTCTCTAAGCACAGACTTGTTCCCCATTGTAGTGGCAGACACGTTGAAGAGATGGAAACATGTTAAAAAATGACAGGCACTGCCAACACAACTGTAAACAATTGCATGAGCTCTCGTACTGGCTTCATTCACTTGAAACATAATCCATAGATTACTTTAATACTTTAATCGCCTAAGTTTATACGACCTTGGCACATGAAGCGGATGACAATATGGCATGTTTTTAAGAGCAGCAAATGAAAACACTTGTATTACTAATAAATACTTAAATCTGTGTAAAAGTCAAATAATTTGCATCTAGCAGTTAATCTAACACAGTCAAGTAAAAAAAAATAATTAAATCAATATTTGATGTAACCAGGTTTTGCCATCCAACCAGCATAAATTATCCCATGTCCACCTGCACACAGTTTTTAAAGGTACTTGGCACTTAGGTTATTTTAAGCATATTTGAAAACTTGCCACATTTCTTCTGTGGATTTAGAGCTGTCTCAGCTGCTTCTGTGTCTTTATGTAATCCCAGACTGACAGTGGGGGGCCATACCATCTGTTGCAGGACTTGGTGTTCTCCGTCTGGTAACTGATAAGGGCTCTTTACGACTCTGACTGTATGTTTGCAGTTGTTGTCGTGCTGGACAACTGGCTGGGATCAATCAGATGCCTCTCTGATGGTGATATGTAATGGGTAAACATTTACCATTTGCATTATATGGTATACTCAACATTATAATGATCTGTTTAATCTCCTGAGGAGTCCGTAGGCTTCTGAACCACAAAGGCAGATACTGTCCAAAAAATCTGCAGTTTTAACAATAAAAATTACCTGATGACTCACTTTTAGCTTGTACGACATTCTCACTTCCCTCAACTGTCTCACACACATGCAGAATGCTAGACTGGCAAAACAAATATTGTTAAATATAAAAAAAATACAGTTTCTGTCAGGAATTAGGCCACTTCATATTATTAAATACTTGAATCAGGCCTACACTGACTGTTTCTCTGCACTACCACTGTCCTGTCTTTGGGGTTTAAACATTTGTACAGTAGTTTTCATGTGGGACCTCTGACTCTAAACAAGTAAATGAAATTCATCCAGGTAATTCCAAACTACCTGTTAGGCTCAAAATCAGCTGTTTGCGCTGAGGTTCGGGAACTACGGGGACAGGCAGCTCCCGAAGGAAGAGTTTGAGGAGGGAGGCCACAGTGGGGACGTCACCGTCATGCTCCAGGTCCAATCTCTCTCCACAGTCCCACCGCTGCCTCAGCTGCCTGGTCCGAACCACAGACCCACACAGGCGAAACAGACCTCTGTGGTGCATTCCTGTCAAAAAGGAACAAATTCAATCAGTATGCATGAAGGTGATGTTTTGTTGCATCGAAAAAAACAAGAAAAAGGAAAACAAGGAAGCTGGGAAGAGAGATTTGCGGAATGGAAAGTGGTAAAATAATGGCAGAGGGGTGAGAAAACAGAGTAATTACCATTATTATGGAGGAACACCACCATGTCTCTTAACACGAGGGGTATCCCACAGACCATCTGTCCATTCTCTCTTAGGGTTTCCAAGGCAACACCAAACACACATCTGGGCGCCAGTTCAGGCTCTGAAGCCGAGGTGGGAGCGATGGGCTCTGGGCTGACCTTAGCGACGGGCCTCAGGATTCTCACTGAAGAAGGGTCGCTCTGCATGGAAACAGAGCATGATGCAGCTGATTAAGAAATCAATCTAGTTTGTTACAGTCACATTCCTGAATGGCCACAGGTGGTTTAAAAACAAGTTAGTGTTTGCTGTCATCCTGAACTCTGCACCATTTAGATTACTGCTGACCAAAAAGTGTCCACTTCATTACTTCAGGATGCTTCACTTAAACCCCAGTGACCCCTGTTATCATGTGAAAATGCTGCAGCTGCAATAAAATCACATACCTGTTAGGATAAAACGGCACATTCTCTCAGGTATCTGTACACATTTGACAACCTAAACTGAAATGGCTATTAAGTTATGCACCCCACAAACTGCACATTTCCTTCTTTTAACAACCGTTACCTGTCGCTTTTGTGTGAAGTCTCTTGAAATTAAAAGTGCGAGAGAGGTTTTCACCCCCTCATGCCTAATGTTAGTAAAACCGTCTTACACAATCACTTGGAGTAGGATGCTAATTGCTACCAGCTGCTAAACTTACACAGAGCGACATTGACGCGCTTGCTCCCATGTTTTCGGCTCAGCGGACCGGGACAGCTCTCCGTTTTTGAACTGCAGACGGATTTTTCCCTCCTCGACATGATGCTCCGCTCTCTGAAACTAACGGAAAGTCCGACGCACGACGAGTAATTACTGCCATCGCCCACGCATCCCAGCAACAGGCTAAAAACAAGCGGAAAAAAAAGTCGGTTTTTAAAATGGAGTAGTTAGCTTACTTCACGGCGCAACATTAGCTCCCCGGAAAATTGTTTATGTTGCCAGTCACGTGACGCGAGTGTAGCCATGGCGACCTGTGGTTGGTTGCCAGGGGAAGGAGAAGCAGAGCAGCTCAGGATGCTAAAGAGGCTGAGCTCAGGAAATGTTGGTAGAAGGTATCGAAATTATTCATTTTATATATATATATATATATTAGCTGAAATAAATTACATTAAAGAATATATATTTACTAGTTTTTTTTTCCTTTTTAATTTAGACTTTATATTCACTGGAGCTTTACCAACACTGTGCCTGGTTACTATTGATAAATATGAGTCAAGTCTACACTCATCTTTACTTTGGATTCAAGATGTTCAAGGTGCATAATAAATGACAAACTTAGATACTTGATGCCATTAAATCCAAACATCTTTTATTGGCACTTTTTAAATAAAATAATAAAACAGAAACTCAGACATAAATATTATAGTACTTGAATATAAAATGCGAGTGCCTAAAACATACATCTCTACAAACTGCACCTCATCTGCACCCTGTAAATACCCTCTACAAATATAAAAAGCAAACACTAATGTCCCAGATTTTTGTCTCTTACGCCTGAAACTGGAACAGTCAAAGACATTGGCTGTGGCCTATTCAACAACATTCAAGTGATTCTAAATGCCTATTGCAATGTATTCATTACAATTATGATCACGATAATCAAATGAAACAAACAAAAACAAAACAGTTTTTTACAGCTCTATGGCCGGTTTTGTGCATATAAAAGTCACTAGCACATAGGACTTTACGAACTAGTGCCGATACAAAAGTTTATCAAATAATCCACACACACACACACACACACACACACACAAGTCTTGTGCACGTATGCCAACATGCGTGTGCAGATACATACACGCACAACATACACATAAACATATACACACACAACATGATGGAAAAGGACCAGCCTGCTCAAACTGAATGCCAGCAGAGGTCATGAGAATCATGCCACAAAGAGAATCAACATGCTGTTTTAGGTTGGGAATACAGTCGGATCTCATAAGTGTTTTTACATGTTTTTGAATCAGCATAACTCACTTCTGACTGATTCAGAAACAGGAGGTATGTGGAGCTCAAGTCATTCTAAAAAAAGTATAAATTGACTCAATGCACTTGAAAGTAAAAACTATCTTAAAAGCAAGGCTTTTGTATTGTTCCAACAGGCATTGTGTGTTGACAGGCATTGACTACCATGAATGCTTTGGTAAGATACATAGTGGTGTGATTAAAGTATATAATAAAACCACAATACAAAATAATAAAACAAAAAAAAGTAATGCTTAAGTTATGATTATCAAAAAAAGGCTCCCTCCTTCACTCCAATCTTGTGTTCTGTCAGAGTAAAATTCAAGGGTAATCATTTGTGCAGAGTGATTTCATATGTTGTTATTGTGTTACATTGACACCCAACAATTTTACAGATGTTTGTCTCCCAGTGTTGTGGACGGCACCATGTCTTTTTTCAGAGCTACAATGAAGTGAGAACCAGTGTTTACATGAACACAAAGTAGAATTTGGGATTTGAACAACATTGTTCAGTCGACCTCGTAAAATGAGGCAATAATAAAGAAATCAACACAGGCGTCAGAGTCAAACCTTGACACATATCTGTAGTAGTAGGGTTTGAACCTGAGAAATGCAGACAAAGTACAGAGGAAAGGCCTGTATTTCAAAATTTTGGTATATTAAAACCTGGCAGCAGAAATAAAGGGGAAACCCCTGTATAGTCATAAAAGAAAATTCCTCCTAGAGGTGGTTCAGGTACAGTTCAGGGACGGTTGCTGGGCAGTAGGTGTGAGATTTGAGTTCTTATGAAAGGTGCTCATATTTAGGCTACTGAGGCAACTTTGTCACAGTTGCTGGTATAATGGACGTCTGGTCTGTCCTTCTCGGAGTTCTTCCTGTTCCAGCAGGGAAGGGTCAGCAGAAAGAGAATGAATGCTCCCAGCTCAACACAGGTCCCACTAAAGTAGAACGCCAAGTCATATGACTGTGTCCAGTCGAAGAACCACCCTGGAAAGTGATGAGAAGAACAGACATTGTGAGCAGTCAGCAGGGATTCCTGGCAGATGCAGCAGTCAGCTAAATCATGACAAGCAGGCTCCTTTGCCTTGGCCAGTCTGCCTGCTTGATTTAACATGAGGATTTCTGAAATGTTTCTGATAACATGACCTGACAACAAGGTTTATCTCTACTCAAATGAAAACAATTGCCATTGTTGCAGTGCTTACAAACTCAGATAAAGACAGGTTCTCTTACCCACAACCGGGGGTCCAAGCATGATCCCAAATCCCCCAAAGAACATGAGGATGCCGTGGGCTTGTGTCAGTCTGTCCAAGCCAACGATCTTAGTGGTGATGTAGGAGGTGAGAGACCAGTTTCCAGAAAAGAAACCCAGAATGGCAGACAGGATCTGCAGTCCCAAATAACTCTTAGTGATTGGGATAAGAAGCAGCGACACGCCTCCTGCAAACATGGTGAAGCCGTACAGATAGATGCCGTTGATCCACCTGATGTCCACCAGCATGCCCAGCACTAGTTTACCCACACAAGTGGCAATGGCCCCTATCGAGACCAGCGGAATGACGCTAACTTCTTCAATGAGTCCTTCACTCTGTGCTACATCCTCTATAAAGAGGACAGGAGGGAACGCTCCCAGACTGAACAGGAAGACAGCAATGCAGAAGGCCACCATGGCTTGGTCCTGCAGGATCTCATACATGGAGTGCATGTACTTGGAGTAAGCCTGCTGCTTTTTCTTGATGACTTTCATGATAGCTAACCCAGCCATGGAGCTGCCTTTCTTCTTCTCTGTCTGAAATGCTAAGTCCTTGCCATCAATGGTGATGAGCAGCTCTTTCACCATCAGAGTTTTCTCTGGAGTAGTTGCGCTGGAACCTGTTGTGATCTTTAGGTCATCCAGCTGGGGCTTCTCAAAAAGCTGCTCTTCCGTGTTGCGTTCCAGGGCGGCCTTCTGTTTGAGGTAGTACCCCGGCATGTTTAGGGGCCTCATGAAGCCGGCGCAGGCCATGAGATTTAGTGCTACAGCTCCGATGATGAGCAAACAGCCATCTAAGCCAAACAGCACGATCAGTTCATTCTGAGCTGTGGCATAGATGAACGCTCCAACACTTGTGCCTGCGGGAACAGAGAAAACAGATCAGTCACTACAGATTAAAGCCACGATGCGCCATATCATTTACATAACTTTAAAGAATAACTTCACACCCGATAGAACAATTTAGACAGTAAGATGGCTCAGTAGTTCTAAATTAATAATAGACTGACAATAACTTTAAAAATAAACTTTAGGTGCTACCAATAATGCTTCTAATGAAAGGCAGCTCTGTCTAATATAGTTCCCAAACCATAACCATCGAAGTCTTAATTCTCAGCCAAACCAGATCTGGCCACTGGTCACAAGTCCCTACCTAAGAGACCACCCTGCCTTTGCTACACACCAGATGTTTACCTCGACTTCCTAAGGCTCCCAGCAGCTCATACATGAAAGATGTGAGCATGGAGAACACCCAGAGATCTCAGGGCAGAAGGAGGCGGCAGTACCTGTGGTGACAATGCCGAGGGCGAGGCCGCGTCTCTTGTCAAAATACTGACAGGTGATTGTCAACGTGGCTGCGTAGACCAGACCGCAACCCAGGCCTGAGGTAGGAGAAAGCAGAGAGGACACGGACAGACAAGGAAAGAATTTCCATTAACTCAGGTGAAATAGGTAAAAGCTTTTCACTTGTAAAAACACACAAAAACAAGAATGCAATTGCACAGGAATGCATTTAATGCGTAGAGGTCACCTACAGTCCTTCCAAAATCTACACTTGGTTTTTGGTCTTGCAACATTGCGGGAAAACATGTGCTTGGGTTATTTCAGTGTATGAAATCAGTATAAATCTATAAGTTCAGAGGGCGCATCAGGTGTCTTGTGCAATGCACTCAGCGATACACAAAGTAGGATGAGCTGTAAACAAGCTACACGTGCTTGTACAGTCACAGCCAGCACTCATAGGGCACCTCTAAAAATAAATGACTGTCTTCAAATATGCATGGCCTCCCCTCTCTAATGTTCCCTGTGCAAAAGGCAGGACCGGTGGTGAGGGGTTCACCAGGATTAAGCATGCCTGAGCTGTCACTTGATGGGCAGTAACAGGTGCTGGTGGATCCACACAGACACACTGCTGAGAGCACAAAGGCAACAAGAGGTCACATGAGAATCAGGATAAGCCTTAATGTTATTTTTCAGTCAACAGCCAAAACAGCAGTGTCAGCCAAATGGCGCAATGCTGAAGTGTATGTCTCGTCTTGTTTCTGTACTTTCGGTGGCCGTGGTATTCATTAACTGGCAATTGAGGATATAGTCAGCGTCTTGTGTTGCATAATAGTTGGACTTGACAAGCGCCCCTGCTTGTTTCAAATGATTATACAATACGTTTTGAGGTTCTCATATGTTGGAGCGATAAGAAGCTTAGTCAACTCTCATGACCGAGGCAACATCAAACGCATTTTTTTCAGACAAGACCCAAGTCTTTGTCTATTCTTTTGACGGTCAGGCATTTGGTCTCTGGGCTGTTTTCAGCATTTATCTTTGTAGACGTGTCTCTCACACAATGCCACCCAGTGTTATCATGAAGTGTTTCCTCACCAACAACGATCCCATAGGAAAAGATGAGGAACTGGACGTTCGGAGCAAAGGCACTGAGCATCAGGCCGCCCGCCACCATTACGCCACTAAAGATGGTCACGGGACGAGCCCCAAAGTTGTCCACGCAGGCACTGCAGACAGGACCTGAGTGACAAGAGGGAGAAAGAAAGAAGGGGGCAGAATAAAGAGAAAGAGAAGGAAGGAAAAGTGAGTGACAGGGGGACAAAAACTGAGTTTTATTACGCTGCTTTTTATGCTCCCTTTTAGCTGTGTCCTTTTGAGAAGTCCTGAGAGAGTTTCTGAGGAAATTAAGTCTCATCTAACAAAACACTGCTGTGTCCCACCATGACACTGCTAAATCACATTATGCTCAAACTGGCAACCTGTCAGAGGTGTTGTCACATCCCTCAAGAGAATCTCTAGCGCTAACGTTTTTCTTTAACATGTTTTTAACTCCAGTTTCCTTGTATTTCCATTTTAACTGGCTTTAAGTGAGGAAAAACAACCTTTTCCTCACTGTCTGGCAGTATCTCATATCTATCATATATATCAGCTGATTCCAGCTCTTCATTAGAGCTGCCTGATGTTTATACAGTACTGAGTGCAATTTTGAAACTACAGACAAGATGGTGTTTTTTTAATCATTTGAATACTCCCATATCCTGAGGCTGCCTGACTCATGCATCATGCGACATTTACTGTTTCCTTCCCCTCTAACCAGGGGGAAGACCCTGCTGTTGTGCAGTAATAACTGCAGTGCTGCAGCAGGCTGACAGCTGGGACACGTGTCCGAACTTGGCCAGGCCTGAGGCCAGATCTGTCCAGTCATGATTTTCAAGTCACCCCTTAAAGAGAGACAGCAAGAAACCAGGCCAACAGGAGGGCTCTGCCTTAGACGGAAATGTCAGCCAAGGCTATTATCTATCACTGATCCTGTTTGCTCAACAGACATGGAACATGCTTACATAACAATACTGAAATTACTGTTTCTGTGAACAAGCAATTTTTACGTTGACACTCCATGAGTCATGCAGACACTTCTCTTTTTCTCTTAGGTAGGTTCAAGTGAGTTCATACACAAAACTCTGCCCCATTCTTAACATTATATTCTGGTCTCTTTGTTTCTCTCCCTATTTGCTGCTCAATCTGTCTTTCTTTTCCTCCCTCTGTGGTCAGATTAAGGGATAAGTGATCCTCCTACATTCATAGCATGGATGACTTGCACTTGCTTTGCTCCCTTCGAAAATCAATAACAGCAACTCTGCTCAGGGAGCCACAAAGTGCCCATCTTTGTGATGTCTCTCTTCTGCGTCCTGATAAAATATTGCAGTAAGAAAGCTCTTTAACACCTGTAGCTATACGGGCAATAGTTTAATTGCCCCAATATGTGGCAGTCATTACTTAGACTTTGAACAAGTATTGTGTCTCCTTTGTTATCAGTGACATTATGTGCTGTAATGATTGAGCAGCAAAAGGTAGGAGGACAGGTGTAAAGGTGAGTGGTTTAGTGCTCCACTTTTAGCACCAATAAGATACAGTATGGATTGCAATCATAAAGGCCAGCAAATGTAACACCCACAATGAGATGGAATGCCAGTAAGATTTTATTGCGTAGCATGGAAGTATTTAAATACAAAAATAAAGAAACGTGACTTCGTGTTGAAAGTTTACACAAATTTTGCTCCATCTGCATCTCTCTCTCTCTCTCTCTCTCTCTCTCTAACATGACTCCAAAATACCAACAGTATCAGGACCTTCCCACCTCCGATTTTAGCTCCTGAACCCTCATGTGAGTACATGTCGGGGTCTATTACATTATCACGGTTTATTTTACTCACTGGCTATTAGTCCCACTCCAGCCACGAGGGAGCCCACCCAGGCTGTCATGCCCTTGCCCTCCTGGAAGGCGTGCAGCCACTCGGGGTACAGAACGCCCACAGACTGGGGCGATCCGTAAGCCAGGAGCTGGGCCATGAAGGACGCCACAACAATCGCCCATCCCCAGCCTCCATCCAGCACTTTAGTCGACTGAGCCATGGTGCTGATGTTACTGCTGCCCCCTGGGATCTGTTACAGCGTTGACAGAGGAGGGGCTCCTGACAAAGACATAACAACAAACAACAGTTTTCAGTCAGACAGCAAAAATAAATCTAAAGACAATCAGTGAATCACATACGCTGTTGGTGCTGGAAATATTTTTAAGCCTACAAAAGCTTTCTAATTGTGTACTTACTCCAAGCCTTGATGTAGAAAAGGCTGCTGCAGCACCTGGCCTGAGCTAACAGGCAGATCACCTGTGTGAAGTCCGAAACCCAACCTGACTGCAAGTTCCCCATTGCCAGCTGCCCCTTTTGTTGCTTTCTTTATAACCACACCTTGGAGGAGGAGAAAGTCAAGAAGACTGCACTGCTTGGTGCCCCCTGCACCTTTAACCTGCCTCTTCCCACAATCAGCTGATAGAGGCATAGCAGAGGCTTGCCTGTTGTGCTGACCTAAGTTTTTTCAGACATCTTTCATTAATAATTTGTAGCCCTATGCAACTTTATACACCACTGCAGCAGCATTAATCACCTCTCATCACACTTTGTTTACAACGAGGCTTCGTGGTGGGGGAAAGTTGGTGCAAAGCTCCTCATATTTCAGATTTGATTACAAAGCAGGTATGCCGCATGTTGACGGTAAATAATGAGGATTTGAACCATACGTACATGTTGCACGAAAATCTACCGCAATAACATCCTGGAGGAAATATTATGGTGTGACGGCTCCATCTTTAAAGACGACATAACGGTATTTCCTTGTTGTTACTTCAGGACCAAAACAAGACACATCGCGCGTTGGTAATTCGTTAAAATCACATGCGGCACTCACCTCAGCATCTACAAAAACAGCAGCAGGCGCCTGCAGAGCTGCGCGCTCTGCGGGAACTTTCCATGCAGGATGTTTCCTATTAAAATCCCTCCGTAACAGAATCCGCTACAAATGACATAAACCAGAAAACATCGCACACGGCTGGCGGACTGTCTGAGCTGCCGTCTACGGTGTCTGAGTGTGAGGAAAGCACTCTGCATCAACAATGTTCATTGTGCATCCGTTTCATACTGCTTTGTAGCCGGCGACGAAACCGGTTCAAAGCTGTTCTTGCTGGTCCAGCAGCAGCCTGAACGCAGCTATGGGAGGAAAAAGCGCCGCTTCTTGTTGCGCGCCTGGAGCGCAGCGCGCAGCACAGAAACAGACTCTGTGCTCAGAGATGTGACGGCTGGGCTTTGTGGGGCATACATGTACCTTTTATTTCCTGTAAGCTACACTTGAAATTATGAAGTCATCGAAAGCTCAAGAGGAGCGTGCACACGCAAACACACGCACATGCAAACAGAAAACTGTTTACCTGATAAGCTCTCCGGACTGTGAGACACAAAAGAAGTTCTTTTTCATAAAGGGCCCTTTGAGGCAAGTGATAAAGCTAAAGAAATAATATGTAGAATAATTAGTATTAGCAGTAACTGTGTAAAAATATAAAAAGGAACCCACTCTCTCAACTTGTCTAACTGCTGTCATGAAAGTTGAGGGTTTGTGTTCTAACGATGGGGGCTGGGAGTCTGGGCTGCTTCTCTCCAGGAACATTGTTAATATTGCCATCAGTCCAGTCTGAACCGGTTGATGGATGGTAATAACAACACCACACTGCACCAGTAGGGCGCACTGCCTGGAGTCATCTCCCCGGTGAGCGCTGATTAAAGGAATACATGCACAAAACTCTGCTCTCAAACCGTAATCAGCGTCTCCATCACTGTCAAGGACCGTGATGAATGTAAGAGCGACACGCGAGCAGGCAGCAACATGCAGCAGACAGCAGATCACGCGCCTAGAAATAGCCTGAAAATGGGGTGAAAGACTGCAGATTGTTCTGTGTTTTGGAAGGAGAAACAGTTGGACGTTAAAGGAAATCAATACCATGAATATCAGCAGCAGATTTCAGCGATATGTAGAGAGTGAGCAGAGTGATCAAATCAAATGGATGTAACCAAGGGAACAGATGGACTTTATTTTAAAAAATATATTGCTACACTTTCTAACTTAACTCATAAAGATTTTAATGTTTAATTTTATGACACTGACTTAACTTGCTAGACTTGTATTGGCTTCCATCTTCCAACCCCTCTTCAGAACATTTTACATTATACTTGAGGGAGCTTCGACCCACAGTGAGCTTTCTATTCAAGAGACAAGAGTGGCCCTTAGTCACTCTGCAGCAGCATCATAAAACTATACCACCAATGTGACTGCCCTTGTTCTCATAACCTCAGGTCAGAAACTCTATGGAACCACACCAGCAGTATAAAGCCAAGAAAGAGCGGTATAGAAAGCCATCAGAAAGAGGAACTCAAAGACAAGTGGGCAGGAAAGGTGACAGGATGTTGAGCAGAATGGGGGAAGGGTTGAAGAGAGAGAGAGAGGGAGAAAACAACAGAGGTACGAGTGTCTTCGCACTGAATGAACCTAAAATTCTTCAGTATCTTTGATGCTTTTTCACATAGCTGAGAGCTCCGCTTCCAGGAAGGGCCTTGCAGAAAAGATTTAGGCTCCATAATCCTCTTCTGCCGGAAAAAAAAGAAGAGAAAAAAAGAACAAGGGAGACAGAGTTAATTGTGCTTTACACAGGCATTACACTGACATGCTGCCCCAGACCAGTTTCAACTAGATATAGTGCATGTAGGGGACAGCGTGTGCAGGAATCTGAGGGAGTTCAGGGCGTGGGTTACAGAGTGGCTATGATACACTTTGAACACTATTGACTGATGCCAGAATCAATGTCGGCACAGAACTTCACTCACTTGCATAAGTTATTCAATAGATTTATTGACACATTCCTAGTTTCTATACATCAACCATTAAGTCTGTTTGATTAGAAATGTAGAATAGACTTCAGTTTTCAGTTTAAGGCTTCGTATTCTTTCCAAGCTGCTGTATGACACCACAGCCTGGATTTTTACTAAAAGCTGCTATGCTACTACAGAAAGAAAAAGTGTTACGTTGAAAGCTTTGCATAGTCTAATTGCTTTATCTCGTTGTGTGATCTCTTTGATGTACAGTATCAAAGCTGACGCCTCAACAAGACTGAGCCGTCGCAGGGCGCATGAGGGCATGAAAACATGCTGCAGGAGATAATCAGTTCGTCCTGTGTCCTCTTTATGACTGTGATCCTTCAGTTACAACATCAGGTGTTTGGTATTTTCATGCATTCGGCGCCTTAAGGTGGGAACACTGCTGACCTGAATAATTAATGGTCTACATCTAAGCTGTCTGAAGGCGAAGTTTTTAACACTGCTGATCTCAGCGTTGGGTCACACAAGTTCCAAGTGTGGTATTAATGTATAACTTGCTGGTAGAGCTTAAAACTGTGCCTGCAAGCGTTGCTAAATAAAGCCCAATAAATGCTAATGGTCTCCCACAAGGTACTATTAAGGGGCCCCTAACATTTACCATACATAGGAGTGTGTGTGTCAGTGTCTCTGATGTGCCATAAACAAACAAGTTATATGTGTAATAACTTTAAATGCAAGAGTTTTTGTGACACACTATTTACAATTATTATACAGTTCAGTTACAGTTAGTAAGATCAAAATATTAACATTGAGATATAAGATTCAAACATGGCGAGTAGGAATCATTTTCTACTTTATGCACTAAATCCAAACTTATTGTCAGATCTCAGTGGACAAATGTTTTTAAAAAATATATAGATATTTTGAACCTGGTAACACCATGACGTATAATATTGTTGACTTCTGTCCTAGAAGCAGAGCTCACATTACCCATCCACAACACACTGATATACGCACGCACATTCCCAGCACTTGTGCATGAGCTGACCTGATATTCCGACATTTTAAACATATTTTCTTTTTCTCTCGTACTTTTGTGACACCCGAGAAGCGGCAGCCCGCTGTTCTTTTCCGTAAGAGGCTTGGCAGGTGTAAGCACACAGAGCTACCCTGCAGTCTGGATAAATCTCTCTGGGTACGGCCACCTAGCACCATAAAGCTGCAGAGGTCAAAGGCCACTTTAGCACCCAGCATGGCCACCCTGAGCCTCCAGTCCAGATTCCTGCTTGGATTAGTTCAGGTTGCTGGCTTCAGCAGCAAGAGGGATCACTACAACACAGTAGAAAAACACAGAATACACTTCAGTTGTGTCAGACCTCTCAGCAAGTCTTCGGACAAAGATATACTTATGTCATTCTTACGATGAGGCGCATGTTTTGATTATGGTGAGTTTAAGCCGGCCGTATGTGTGAATGGGCTACAGTTACCTGCGCAGGCTTAATGGAGGCCTAATGTGTTTCACAGGTCGTCATTCTTGTCCTGCTCTCTGCGCACCACAGGTTATTACACCCACATTACAAAGGTTTACCATGTTAAATGATCCTGGAATGATTGATTTATGGAAAACACTCCTCCGCACCAGAGCCAGTTAAAACCGGTTAAAACCATGTCGGCTAGGAAATGAAAATCAGAGACTGGCACAGAATCAAGAGTCAATGGACCTGTTGTGTCAAAGATAACATCACGAGGTAGTTATATTACAACAGATTAGCATTAGAGGACAGCAAATTTTCTGTGCTTCAGTTTCTGGCTAGAGGCGCTGCCGGCAGTGCCACTCGGCTGCTCGCTCTATCCAGAACTAGGTTCAGACTGAAATAACTATAAGATTTTAATTAATATTTTTTTGATACATCAAGACTGCATTACATACAACCATGAGTGACAGGTTTTTGTTCAGTATACAAGTGATTTATAATTAATTTTTTTGTCATGTTTGTAGTGTTTCGCCACCCTGAAATTCTCTATATAAGAATCACATCGCTGTTGTGATCAGCACTGATGATTGCATGTATTTACTGATGGTAATACCTCGAATGAAAACAATAAAAGGAATTGTTTACTACGTTCACTATCTTATTTTAGACACTTACCATGACAACAGTACAAACTGAGGCTGATCGGAATGTTATCGGGTCATAAACAAAAGTACTGGAATAAAAACCTTTGACTTGATGACGGTGCAACAAATTAAAGGTCAGGGAGGCAAAGTTAATGTATTCATCCCCTGGGGACCATGATTGTGCCACATCTTTTCACAATCCAACCAGTAGTTGGAGACACATTCCATACAAAAATGAGAATTTAGCAGCCCTAAAAGAAAAATCTGAAGCTCGTAAAATTAATTAGGGTTAAACATCTGAGAAATACGAATTGTAAATTGCATTGGGAGTCGTGTTTACTCTTCTGGACATTTCCCTGTGAATTAAAAATGACATGTCACGGTGTCGCAAAGTGGAAAAGTCTGAGAATCACTAGTCATTTGGAACTGAGAATATCTGTACAGCCAATCCAACAAAGCAGATTTTACTGAATAAAGAAAAAACTGAACTGCTGGTGTCTCTAGAAAAAACAAAAACAAATAAATCGGGGGATAACTTAATTAGAATTGATCCACAGGGGAGCCTTGAAAACCTTTAGCAAATTTCACAGCAATCTGTTCAACAGTTGGTGAGATATTTCCATCAGATGTTAAAACATGAAGTCTTACCTGTATTGAAGAGTCCTGTTGCCATGACGCTGATGGTTAAAACTCCTCAGTCGTGCTAAATCGAATGAAAGGATATTCCTTCACTTTAAGAAACATTAAAATTGTTTCTACCATCTCAGGTTGTGAGCTTTGATGGTGCAAATTTATTTAAGGCACAAACATATTCCATCAAACTACTGTAATGGTTCGGTAAGATGTCAGAACTTCCACAATGAAACATTCCAGTGAAGCTAAATACACAAAAAAAGATCAATTCGATTGCGAACCTGTGCAAATGTAAGGATCTGTTAAATTAAGCGTGTGCATCAAACCGCAGGTTTTTGTCAGGGAAAAAAAAGATAATAAAGAACAAAGTGATTGTCTTCCAGCCTCGATTTTCAGCCTTTTAACCCTCATATTACAGACGAGTAGCAAATCCTATCCATAAAACTGACAATTAAAAACAAAAGTTGTCATCTCAACAGCTTTAATCATACATAGAAATTTAGTTCAACAGTACCATTCATTTAGAATGTTTTAGCAGTATGTATATTTAGTGTAAAGAGCATTATGATTTTTTTTCCTTTTTCTGATGAGGAATATCCATTAGGATGATAGAAGCTTTCAGAAATACACCAGAGAGAGAGAGAGAGAGAGAGAGAAGATCAGAGAAGAGACTGAGTACATGACTAAGTTGTAACACCTCAGACTATATTTTTAAACACCTTAAAAGGCGACATTTATCTGTGGTTTATGTACCAGTGTCCATCCTCGTTGATGCTTTTTTTTCCTTTTCATTATAACTGAAGAGCAGCAGAGACTCGAATGCTTTCAGAAACTAAAATAACTGTGCCGCAAGCTCTGTTTGATCAATGCCCTATGATGGAGAAACTCCAAGCAGTCTTCTAACGACACCTTTTGCTGACCTAATCGAAGCCACGTTAAACTTGGGGTCGGGGTGAATTGTTGACACTGCTTCAAAGACAAAGGGTGAGCTGGAGTGGAGGACATTACTGCAATCGAGTGTCATATTATAGGCATGAAAAGAATTGAACACATCCATCTATTGATCCATCCATTTCTCTAGCCATACATCCATCCATTGATCCAAACATCCAACCTATCATAAAACACCACCATAAAACATACTTTATGTGCTGTTTGTGCTATCTTAGAAGCGCCACAACAACAATTCCAACCAGCTAAAGTCCCAAGCAAAGAAAAAAACAAAAACATAACATGTACAAGACAGAAGGTGGAACAGTAATTATCCTACAAATCCCAGAAGCGATTATTTTTCAGTCCATCCATTCCTTTTAAGAGTAGTTAAGTAACGCCACATGTGGATTTGGCAGGCGGCTAGCTTCACCGAGGGTGAGTTGCCAACTTGTTTCTTTTCCCTCTGAAACTTTTGAAGCTGCGTCTTTTGTGGAGTTGGTAAAGAGTAAGAAACTTCACTTCCAGAGCTGGTAATGATGGAAGCTGCTGCGGTAGCATCGTGGCATTCAGTGGGCGCACTCACGCGCAAAGACAGAGACTGTGTGTGTGGCGTTAAGGCTGGGAGGGAGGCTGCTGTGCTGCTGCTGCTGCTGCTGCTGCGTGCTGTGACATGGCTGCCGGGGAGGACATGGACTGGACCATGGGCTGAGCTGGTGGGGGTAGTGGAGGCTGAGCCTGTTGGGCCCCTGAGTGCGTGTTGGGGGAGGGAGGGGGCGTTGGACGTTTGAATTTGTCGGGGCTGGTGCTTCTTCTTGGAGAGGGCCTCTGTTTGACAGTGAGACAGAGAGAGAGAGCATAAATAAATAAACATCCGTCATCTTGTGTGGCAGCATTGTAAACATTTAATGCAGAAAATGTGACAAACTGAAATGTTTAGAGAAAATTTGGACGTGTGTTCATATTGCATTTTTCTCTGGCAGGAAATCACTGGCAGAGCACTGAAGAGCGCTTCATCCCAAAAGTGTCCCGGCGCTGTGCATGGGTTTTTGTTTCCAAGACAACAATATCTTGACAACAGATCACCATTTTATATGCCATTGTACGATAGACAGGCACAGATGGGCACAGCCAGAACAAGCTTCTCCTCCATTTTCTGGAACACCAAGGTGGACAGTCACATCCATATGATTGGTTGCATGAAAAGCAACAACAGTACCTTTCTGAAAAGTTCAGAGATTTTCAATTAGAAGCGTTTGAAAAGGCAGTACATCTGCAGGTGGAGGTGCCTATTCTCATTGGATGCAACTGGGGGGAAAAAGCTGATATATAGTCACTAAGACTAAGTTAAACCAGTATCACATGAGGATTTTCTCAAATATCTATTAGATTTAGGCAAATAAAGCTAGACAGTACATATTAATACACAAGTGAGCACAATGAGAGGTAACTGTAGCAATACTTTCTGCAGGAGAGTGGTTTCAGAGCTGCAAACCACTGAAGGAAAACAAGCTCGTCAGAGGTAAGGTTACTCGTCTTAGTCGTGTTTCCCTCACTGAGCCATTGGTCACGACCTGACAACTGCAATTCTGGTCAGACGAATGGAAAGGGTACAGGGGAAAAAAAGGGAAGGGGTTTAGAGAAAAATTAATCTGTCTGAGGTTCTGATCTCCCAGACAGAGTTATTTCCCTGTTTTACTCCAGGGTGGGCTGAACGGTGATGGAGGAGATGTGGTCTGTACAATGCACATGCAATTAGAGAAAATGAACAGATTCAGGGTATAAAAGAGGGAAAAACTAAAGAGACAGGCGTTGGCATAAACATTAGCACCAAACAGTGAGAAAAAAGGTTTAAGCACAGACAGAACAACTTACATTGAAAGTTGGGCTGTACAAAGATCGCCAAAATGATTATCAGGATTGTTTTGATCAATAGTGAGATTATTTATGATTATAATTCATTTATTTTAGGGACAAATACTTCTAGTACACGTTCATAAATAAATCATACTGCTTTCATTTCTATGTTGTTACATTTGCGCTAATGCTGTTCTTCACCTAAAATCAGTGCATCCACTGGAGGCAAAATGTAAACAAAACTGTAACCAGAACACCTAAGTTGTTAAACATCTGCTTATCGATAGAGGCTACAGTTTACCGATGTTGCATAGATACCGCACGTGCAGGCTACAACGCTGTCCACAGAAAAACTTTGCTTAGTTACTGCAGCACATGAAAGTAAAAATAGCCGTGTCACCATTTATAACTCTAAAAGAATGAAATAAGGTGTTCTAATGCAAGATTTACTTAAGTTGAAACCAGTTATCGCCCACACACTGTCTCCTATGTGCAGAGTAATCAGTATCACATGCTCATTTAAGCGTAGGAAGCAAAACTCCTGATTAATATTCAATTTATTGTGCAGCCCTAACTGAAAGCAAATTAAATATTTACAGATCAGTTATTCTTTTAGTAAATAAATTATTTCAGCCTCCTGCAAAACAAATACTCCACTATGTTTTGAACTAGATAAACGTCGCTTTATACGAGGGACTCTGGTTAAAAGTTTCAGAATACTACACTGTAAAGTTATAACAACAACGGTAATGACACTGAAATAAGTCAGCTGAAACTTGTGCTACCCTAAACCTGGTCTCCCAACTGGGCCAAGCGCAAAACAGTGAGAGAGTTCAGAATACTTAAGTCCTGATGCAATACAAGGCAAGCACGCAGAGTTCTGAATGTGATTTTCTGAAAGAAAAAAAAAAGCACAACCCAAAACAGAAGTCCACAAGGTCATGCTTGTAGCACATTGCAAAATCTTAGCAAATGGTGGAGGATTCGTCAAAGTTATCTCAAGATTCAAGTCAAGACTTGGATCACGGTGACCTGAACCAAAGCGTGGCAGTGTTCCCGTGAGAATGATAAAGTGAGAAGACAGACATTTCATAACCTGGGAGTGTGAGTGGGTAGAGAACAGCCAGGTCAAATAGGAATTCTCATCTTGTATTTATTTGGGTTTAAACTGGCTTAAAACCAACAAACCGCCCTCGAACCGTACAAATACTATGTATACAAAACAAGCACGAGACTATCCAGTACAATAACTGATACGCTAATTGTACATTGCAGTGCAGGCGATGATGTCGTCAAGCTGATGCTGGGGGTAGTTTTCTGGAAGTCAAATGTCACTTTAGGACCAACAGAGTGGCTCGACATAATTTCAGCATTCTTGCGTTACAGGATGTACAAACCGCACCGACAAACGAACCCTAATCATCAACCTAATAAAGCGTCTGCACATTTCTGCACACTAGCCTATTTCCCACCGTAGCTGGTGACAACAACAGTATATCACTTTGTCCTCCAGGTACATTGTTATCAGTTACATAATATGGTGGTGTATATGCCCTGTTTGTACTCAGAAGAACGTGGTTGACAATCACCCCTTAAAATCTACAACTAAACCCACAATTGTATTTACTTTCATCTTCACAACTTGCCATTACGCTGCCTTAAATTACACTGTCAGAGGACTCAGGGTAATTAGATAATAAAGATTGAATGCTGAAATTCATTTATTGACATAATTAGAAATATTACTGATAAAACAAAGCAAAACGTGATATTGGTATATTTTATGACTTTAGGACACACTGCTGGTTAGGTGTCAAAATCGTAACACAATGGCTGTTTAGGAGAAAGACTTCAACGGACCATGAACCCAGTATAAAACACTAATACGAATACAAAGCATATCATTATTAGTAAGTGTGTGTGACGTCAATAAGGTGTGTTGACTCAGTTATCAGAGTGTTAGTGAAAAGATAAACCAACAGCCGATTGGACCTTGAGACGTTGGCGTGCTATTGTAGGTTGTCCTACTATCAATCCCAGACAACAGCCGTATATCTGCAGGAAGTTCAGGCCTGTTTTCTTTGTCAGGTTTATGGTTGCAAAATGTTCACTCCTGTTTTGAGTGTAGGACTCCTAGCACCTTATCTTCCCTGTTCTCTTTTCCTTTAAGTTCACCCCAACCAGTCGAGGCAAACACACACCCTCCCTGAGCCTGGTTCTGCCAGAGTGTCCCTTTTTTTTCTTCCCACTGTCACCAAGTGCTCGTTTAAAGGAAATCCAACAAATCTTTGGAATTGTTGGGTTTCTCTCTATAATTTTGTAAGATAATGTTAACTTAACGTTACTATGTTCAGTGCCCTGAGATAACATGTTGTGATTTAAGTGCTGTATAAATAAAAATGGAATTGAATTACACCAAAGATAAATCCTGGTTAAAAAAAAAAGAAAAAGAAAGAAAAATAAAAAAAACGGGGACATCCTGAAAACACAATTTGCCAGATGTCCAGTTAAGAAGGTGTGGGTGGGATGGCACTTACTGCTACGGCATGAGAGGAGCTTCCATGGACGTGCAGGGCGGGGGTGTTGTAGTGGGAAATGGCAGCTCTGGACAGTGTAGCTGGAGGGGTGAAGCCAACTGTGTGGGAGCCATATGAGAGACCTGTAACAGAACGTGACAAACAGGAAGATAAAGGCAAGAAGTCTATTTTATCATTGAGCAAATATTTAGGCTGTAATCTGATGTTTTGCTGAATCAAACCAGGCACGATACTTCAATAGGACTCTGGGATCCAAAGACATCCAGGACTTAGCTTTGATGATAGCATTGTGTGGAGAATTGAGGGATATTTTATTCTCCACAATTACCTTCTTTTGTGATGTTTTTGTGAAGTTTCTTTTTATTTTTTGGACAATTGTCATACTCTCTCACACATGTTCAGTTACTCAATATTACCCTGCTTTAATTGCCAACATAAAACAACTTGCTACCTCTGAAAAATCTCTTCTGTATGTGTCTTAGTTACGGGGTTACAGATAAATACATTTTTCATAGTCTGACACACAGGTTGTAGGATGAAGGCTGGACCCAAACATCCAAAAATTCAGTCAGTGGGGTGGTATCTCGATATCAATTTTGCGATCTGAATCTTCAGATATTCGTCATTAATTGGGCCCCGAATATCCGGAGCCCAGACATTGTTACTTGGACCAGCCCTAGTAGGATGCAGTGAAAAAGCCACCGATCATCTCAATCGGCTTAGTCCTTCCTTCCGCCATCTGTGTGACAGCGCTTTCTTTACGACAGGAAACAATGACAACCTTCGAGCAGCAATCTACTACAATAAAAAAAGATAAATCTCATTTTGCCAAGGGTTTGGTTTTTGCAGTGAGTGCAGCTCTGCTTGGTTTTTGTGGTGCATTATCTTTTCTAATCACAATGTTTGCCTCCCTGCATGCAAATGCTCCACCACAACGATTCTACCCGACACTATTTTGAGGGAACTCCGAAGCCGCTTAGCTCTGTCCATGATAACTGTGATTTTTTTTAGGAAATACAAACAACCCAGGGCGTTATTTGTGTAAAGCAGATTGATAGTGTGGTGCAGCCAGACCATTAGGTTCTACAGAATGGGCTACAGACTACAGAAATGATAAAATTAACAACTTTATTGAAACTGTCACAAGAAAGAAATGACCAAAAGTTTCAAACTTAATTTGCTGTTATCTCCACATTATTGCTAGTTGACTGAACTGTACAGTGTGAGCAGAAACATTTCAGACAGTAAAGCAGATTACAATGTGTTAACACAACTTTAATAGAAAACTTGTAAACTACTGTCTGCTGCAGATTTGACACAGGACATAGTGGTAAACTTGTGTAGCGAAGAGAAAGCTTTTTGTCTGGCTTGCTGCCTGGCAACAAGTCATATCAACTGATATCAAAGGTGGGTTTTATTGTCGTGTTGTACCTACCGGGCGATATGGGTCGGCTGGAGCTGGGGGAGGGGGTGTAGGGGATGGGGCTGGACACAGTCCTTGCTCGCAAACCCTGTGCAGACATCTCGTTGAAGTACCTGAGAGGAGGAGGAAGAGGAGGTGACCATTTAATGAAAGTTCAGCACTTTCCGATCCAAAAAAGCACTAAATGTATACTTTCACTGAGTTTTATAGGCAAAAAGGGTCATTGATGGACCCTTAACATGAAATGTGAAAAGCTTTTTCATGGCTACTTCACGCCCAAGTGGTATGCGAGGCAAACCTGGAAACACATTTCTAAATCTCTGAAGAAGACATATTTTAGCTGGCACGTGAGCAAGATCAAAGAAGAATCTGTCGACCAGAAAACCATAATATGCCAACGCAAGCATTTCTCCATATGACACAAGCCTTTCCTGTGTTACAACAGCCAGCTGTACAAATGGTAGCATATAAAACTTAGAACACATTGTTCTACTTTCACTCAGTATTGGATTGTTAAGTTAGTTTGTCCTGAAGTCTGTGACCTAAATGTACACTTTGTATGCTTATAGTTGGATTGTTAAGTTAGTTTGTCCTGAATCTGTGACCGGAAGGCACCCGATACTTTAAACCCTTGAACTACATTAGAGAGAAGAAAACACAACACACACACTTGAACCTGGCACAAGTTTAAATAGATGTCTTTTGTTAGACATAGGCTTTTTGAAATTCAGTGACCATAGTGGTGATTTTGCATGTTTTATGCTTTCTTGCCATTGCTGATGGTGACAACACCCAGAAAGATGCAGATTTTACCTTTAATGGAATAAAGTTTGAAACTAGTATGACCCTCATATATGTCCGTTTAAATTCAATGTCTTCAAGTTCTGCTATCATGATAAAATAAAGCAACTGTAAAAGTTTATGTCTGTTATCTAAATAAATATGGGCATTTATATAGTATACCACATTTTAAAAGCTACAAATTGACAAAGAGCTTTAAAAAGGAGGGGTGCAACCTACATTAAAGCATTGAAAAAGTATAACACTGATATGACAGGTAATAATGTCAAGCCATATGAAAAGATAACGGCCGCATGTTTACATAACTGAACCTCGCTGGATTACATCAGACCCTGATATATGGGACAGTGTTTGTGTGCTTTTGTGCTTGTATGTCATGCCTATGGATACATTGAACGTCTAACATGTGTGGAGTGGATGATGCAACGCTACAAGTTCAATATCATCAATGAGAGTGGCTACACCAGGCTTATGAACAGTGATGATAAAAATACATCAGTCTTTTATTTGCATTTTTTATGGAAGGTGTGTGCGGTCCTATTAAACAGGAAGGTGTCCATAATATCATAAAATTAAACTACTGGTATACCTGAAATTACAACTTTGCATTTAACACCACTTCCAACTCAAAGTCTTGATCATCCTGTTTGCATTCATGGTACCAGCTGACCGTTGATTACTAACTTCCTTCCCTAGAAAGTCGGCTGCAGTCTGCTGACGTCAACTTACCCATATTGCACAAACTCTGTGAGAAACTAGCCTACTTCTGATTTCCCTACAAAGAAGGGTGACGTCTAGGCACATCTTGTGTGCCTGAGCCATTAGTGTCATGCAGTTCAAACACACTGTTCACTCACACACAGAAGCCTGCCTTTGGCTTAAATGGTCCCAGCAATTTGGCCGCTTTTCAGTTTCATCAAGAGAACATAGATCTGGCAAAGCTAGACTAAGCTACTGCTAAATATTTTGATGTTTGCAAATGTTTCTGAAGCAATCTTGGCAGCTACGGCCTGATTCGAATCTGCAGGGCAGTTCTAAACATTGAAAACATTTATTTAATGATTAGAAAAAAAAGACACTGCTGAGTGGTGTGGAGCTGATACAACCAGGTGGGCTGTGTGTCTGACATGCAGCCAACAGTCGTGCTTAACGGACACCACACTGTTACCTTGCTAATCACAAAGAAAGCATACAAAACACTAACTGGCTATTGGAAGTGCAACTATTGTGTGCTGAGGTGGCACACATGTCTGTTTGTCTTTTGCATCTCTCTCGCTTTTGTTTTCCTTCATCTTTTCATCGTCACAGGTTCAAGCCCTCTTTATCCAAACCGGCACTGTCAGCAGTATACTGGCCAATACAACCAAATGACTCTCCAGCCTCTCCGCAACATCAGGCCCCAGTACATGAGTACCCCGAAGCCATTTATCAAGATGAAGTCTCGCTCATCCCTTTCCCTTAAGTTGTTGTGACCTCAGTGGTAATCTGTCCCATTGTGCGTTACATCCTTTACCTCTCATCGTCCATCTCCAGACTGGATTCACTCTCTGACAGTTGTCTGCACAGGGCCTCCCTGCGCTCCATTTCTCTCTGGAGCTTTCTCTGCAGCCGGATGTTCTCCTCCCTCATGTGTCGCTCCTCCTCTATGTACTGGGCACGCTTCTCTGTGTCTAGGAGGAAACACACAGCGACATTTTTGTTAACTTCACATTCTGTCTACTACACATCAAAGTGAATAACAAGTACCTTACTGCATAGCATGTCGAAATTGCTGTACTTGGGGGGAAAAAAAACTAAATAAAAGGCCATTACCTAAAAAAAATGTGCAGATCTAACATAATCTCCTCTAAACACCTTTGAGGGCAACCCAGTTTGTTTGCGTAGTACAAGGTTTTCTTTTCAAAAATAAAATGAAAGTGGGTCAAAGCCGATCTTTATTAACGCAGTAGATTATAAGGCAAGGTCTGAGGTTCAATAGCTTCAGTGTATTGCTGTGTGACCTAGCCTCTCAGGGCATGCGTTCAAGGTTGGACTGACAACGCCCTCTAGTGGCAAAAACAAAGAATAGACACGATAATGTTAAACGACAATCCTCAGCCAAGTGCTAAGATATATGTCCATGAATATATTTCTCTAAGATACACCATGTTGATAAAACACTTGAACAACTACAAAATGTTATCAACTCCCTGTTTTTAATGCCCTGGAACTTACAGTGCATAATAATAATAATATGGTTTACAGATCCATGTACCACATGCCCCCCCAATCTAAGCTCTGTCTATAAATCACACTAAATAATATAATAATGTTTTTGGGAAGTTAAGTAACACAAAGTGTGACTTCATTAAAGGGAACTCATTGGTGACTTGTTTTGAGGAAACAGTTTAATGTTTTTTGTGTGTGTGAAATCAAGTGTTCATCCAAAAGGAAAACCAGATGCCTGTGTAAATAATTGTCTAAAGCTGCCTGTAATGTTCAGTCAACACAATGTCTTTAATATCTATTCATTGCAAAGCTACAAGCAGCTACGTAAAAACAAACAACAACGTTTCTGAGTACAACCGGTTTCACTGACGCTCCCTAAAATTAGACACCAATTAATGATGCCACCAGAGGGCAAGAATTTTAAGCAGACTTGCATCCTGTTGTTCTTCCTTTCCAATAATTTGACCAGCGTAACTTGAATTCCCACAGGGTCATTGTCACCTCAGTAAACAACACACCTTACACCTGAAATGAGACTGATTGCATAGCATGGTAGTAGATTTATTCAGAGGTGTCGACTTTCAGGGTCTTTATGAGGTTAGCCGTAAATCACAGTGAACAACTGGTCACCTTTATGGCCTGAGTATCTACATTCTTTCCTAGTGTAATGGTTTTAAAAACATTATAGTACTTCAAATTTGTGAGTATTAATTTTGTGGAATGTGGACCTATTCAGTTTGCTCTTAAAAACTCTCAGATGTTCCGCTCTTGAATGCGCCAACAAGATTTCCCAGCATTCTCCAGAAGCATCCTTGAATGCACAAGGGACAAATTGTAAAATGGTTTATGCATGTAATTTAATTTACACGTAACATTATTGCATGTAACATAATATGCACTAGAGCTGGGAATTGTGTTAAACCGTTGAGCATCTTTGGCACAAGGAGATATCACATATATAGTCACTTAATGCTTCATAGCTGAGCATGATACATAGTAGTTGGTGACATAATCATGCTGCATTACTTATCAGTCTATCTGGTTTGCAGAGCATAACTTTCTACAGATAGACTGGAGGTATAGCATGCTAAGTAACCCATTCAGCCATGATCAGAAACAGCATATCCTTTAGTGGGTTGCAGCAGGATTGAGCCTATCCCAAATACCACTAGGGAAGAGACTAGGCACAATAGACAAGTCGCCTGTCAATCTAAGGGATAGTAAATATAATTAGTAATAGTTGTTATTGTTTTTTGTTTGTTTTGAGAGTGCAGGGAAGTCAAATGCAACACAGAGGATACTGATAGCAGAAAACAAATGTCTTCTGTGGGTAAAGACTTCAGAGAATCAACAATATTAGGCTGAGACAGAGCGACGGCTGCCCATGTCAAAAGGAAGACAGGGTATAAATTGTAATTTAAGACCAACGTGGTCTTTCTTAGAGGCCAGTGTAGAGACCCTGTTGACCAGTGGGAAGTTCCACTTGCCTCCGGCCTATCTTCAGGTGTAATGCGACCAGTGAAAAACAAGGCTGTAAACTGTGTCATCACAAGGCCTGAAAAGTATCCTGTTCTTTCTGCTCTATGTAAAACAAGACAAGCATTGGTGTAGAATGAATTTGCCCCCCGCTGCTCGTCTGAGGATCAGTTCGAACAATCACATCCTTAATCAACACTTGAGGGCATCTGCCCCTTCAGAGCCCACACCCCCTTTGGATCATGTGACAGGTTGAGTGGCCACTTACGCTGCAGTTCGGTGGTGCGCAGGCTTTTCTTAAGCCTCTCCACCTCATTCTTCAGGAAGCGGATATGCCGCATCATGTTCTCTGGTGAGTCTATCTCCATGGAAACATCTCTTGGGGAGGGAGGAGCTGATACGGGCTGGTCCAACTTCTCCTGAAGGATTCTACATTAGGAGAACAACAAAACACAGCGTTACTGTAATTCATCAACAGAAATGATGTCAAGCTTCATAACAAAAAATGTTTGTTTGAGATTACCAAGCTTTCACGATAGCCAAGACAACACCCTTTCAGCTGAATATAAAACAATTTAGTTCAGATAAAAGGAAAATCCTCCTCGTTTTTGCTGCGTTGTGAGATTAAATAAGACTGATAAGCAGGCCAATTAGGGGGAATTATTCAGTCTATTGTAATTTACTCTGCTAAAAGCATTACCCTGAAAATGTCCTAAAACAAAGACCTGCTGTTTTAATCTGCCAATAAAATCAAAACATTGAAATTCCTTGATTTTAGTGATAGGCAGGTGTTTTGTGTGCTTGTGAATATGTGTTCATTTCTTAGGCACACAGAAATGACAAGAAATACAGGATCTACTTAAACATAGGCATTGTTACTCTGATCATAACACACTGAAACATCACAATCATTCTCTCAAGTTTACTAAAATATACTGTATGGACTTCTAGGAAGACTCAGTAGAGCAATGCAGCTTTAAATAGATTTATTTCTTCTTGAGGCAGAAAGATTAAACCGAATGTAAGTAGAGTATATTTATATGTACGCATAAAAGCCAGCCCATCAAATTGCACACATGTAACTGGTGCTGAAGCTATTAGCCACTTAATGGATTGGTCGATAAACAAATGAAAGCTCCAGCATGTGGTTAAAAACCGTAGAAAATGTTGCTAGGACAAAATCAGCAACTGGAAGATAACGCTCTGATGGGAATTTGTATTTTTTCCCTCAATTTGCATAGATTAAAAAAAGAAATAATCACTAATGAAAATGATCATTAGTTTCAGCGATATTAACATCATAACATAATTTCAATAGCAGCAATCAGTAACAGCCTTTGTCCCTTTCGTCAGTACTGACATTCTGGCTTTGAAATGTTCACAAGTATGCATTCAGGCATGAACAAGATTTGAATCCTGCCCCCGACAAGCAGCTAATTTTACACGTTGCATCAATGTTGGATACAGAAATGGTTAACACACAATACGATCAATCCACACCTTTTTTCAGCCTCCAGTTTGTCCATCCGTTTCCACAGCCTGTTGACCAGGGCTTCTTGTTCCTGCTCTAATGTGTTCTCAAGGTCGATCTTCTCCCGCCTCAACTGCAGAATAAAAGGAGTGACGTTCAGAGGTACAAAAACCTTGACGTTGACAAAAGTGCACACAAACACACTGTGCTGCAAACCCAAGGTCTCTGTCCAGATAAGCTTCTCTTCTATAGAGCCACACACTCACTGCTGGCTGGTGAGTTTCACAGTGAAGAAAAACAACAATACAGGATAGTTTCAGATTCGTTTTGTTACCAACTGCATGCATTAATGAGTGACCAGCAACAACAAACGCATGCAAATCTACAGAAAAATGCTGTCATCAGAGCACGGAAACTGTATGGAGTGGCTCCAGCAGGCACAGGTTTGACCTCGCCGCAAACCAAAATGTTCTTTCCAGTTCACATTCAGTGGGAAGAATTAAGGATGGTGCAATTTTGTCATCTCACACCACTTCAGTAACTGGACATAGAAGCTGAGGGATAGGTTGGAGGGCACTGGACGTTGAAATCTTGCTCTGCCACAATAACCGTACCTGTTCCAAGGTTAGCTGCTTTGAGATGGTTTCATTCTCCATTTTCTTGATCTTTTTCATGAGCTTGTTAACCTGGAACTCCTGCTCCTGCTCCAAATGCTGTTCCAACTCTGCCTTCTCATGCTGGAGCTGGAATGGAAAAGAGGGAGGATAGCGCAAGAACAGAGGAAAAAGAAGAAGACATGAATGAAACAAGAGCGATAACAAGAAAGAAAAACAGCAAAAGCACAAGAAGAGACAGTAAGCCACATATTAACTATCTGATGATTTCAGTGAACAAACACACTGATGTCACATCCTCAAATGTAGCTTACACATTGACAGTACTGTAAAATGAGGAGGGAGCAGACAATTCTACTGGATTCAGGGTTAAACTTCCCAGATAAACAGACAGTATAAAATAATGATTTGGCAACCAACGTAACCACCTTTGGCAGCTCACCAGTACAAAAAAGGGTGCGGCTCAGTACTGATTCAAAATAGGACAGCTCCGTGATGGATTATATAAGTGATTACTCATTATAGGGAAAGGGATGCAAATTCATTTATAGGAAAAAATGGAGAGGGGAAAGTAACCATTTCCGTTACGCTACTAAGAGAAACTGCTAGAAAACCTCAAAACACTGCAGTTTGTTTTAATTTCACTTGCAATGACTACATTCATACAGAGTTCGGCGCTCCGCAGTATCCTGGCCGAAGGATCGGCCTACCAAGATGTGCCACACCCAGAGCAGCCATTTTTCTTTCAATTAAAATACTAACAACTTTACTTTGTTTAATAACTCCCTTTAATAAGTCAACACTACCAGGTATTATTATACGACAGCCCTTCACTCCACTACATCGTGTGCTGAGTGGCATCTATGCTTGAGTCTGTGTGATTTTATGCTTGTTCATTTTCAGGCTATGGAGACCTTGCAGAGACATTATATCTGACTTCAGCTTCTGCCCTTGAAGCAGAGGCTGTCTGTAAGCGACACCAGAACAATGGCAATGTGGGCATGAGTTCATAGTTGTTCCCTTCATTATCTTCTACACTAATAACGACATTTACAACAAAATAGTTGAAGACGTTCCTTCCTTCCTCTTTAAAACGGAAAACCTATATTGATGCATTAAAAGAAGTCAGAAAGGGGACACAAACTAAATTGTACATCAAATTGATAATGCATAGGTTGTTACATGTACTGAAAAGAGGGCATTGGTTCCAGTAAATACTGAGACACTTGCATTATTTGAGTACTCATGTTCCAACGCAGCAAGTAAAAAGTCCATCATCAAAAGAGATGGACACAAAATTCACAAAAAAGTTCACAAAATTGGTTCTGCAGAGGAGCTTTTACACACCCAGAAAATAAATCACGTCACACAATACACAATATCTCAAAAGTTCAACGCATGCCCATGTATACATACTATATACATACTGGGCCGTTTGTCAGCACCAGGTCTAAGTGCAGAGGCAGGCACAGGTCTGTTTAATGTTCAGTGAGAAGGCAAGATAACAACAAAGACCCAAACAAGTCCATCTGTATGACCTTAAGCAGGGTCTACTGAGACATTTGCATGTGTCCCTTCCACATTCCAACTTCTTTAGATATCAACAAACCATTAGTCAGCCCACAGCTATCCACTGAAAGTGTGAGAGCAGTCATGCTGGTGCTGTGTGCTCTGAAGTTGAGGCAATAAGATGTGGAAAACAGACTGAACCAAATAACCGACAGACGGGAGGAGAGTAATTTGAGAGTCATTTAGAGTTGCTAGCAGCTGCAATGAAGTCATCTTGAGCCTTTCCAGGCTTCAGGCAAGTACCAATGCAGTTGATGATAATGCACTAGCTGCTGCATAGTCACTGATGGGGCTGTGTGCACAGACACGCACCCAGGAAGCTCAACATGCTGGACATGTTTGACAATACTGCGCCTAAAACTCTGCATAACTGAGCACGAATAAAACATGTACCACTGTGACAATAGTTACCAATATTACAAGTCAGCAAACACTACTAAAGTTTCATATCAATCGTAGGGTGTTCTCTGTTGTACCTGCTAACAACTCCAACAAGTAAGGGTGAAAAAATGGGTATTTTCCTATTTGGTTTCCATCACTTACTTGCATGAGTTTCCTTGACAGTTCATTGGTAAGGAATTCCTCTTCCTTCTCATAGTTGACAGCCAAGGTTTCCTTCTCCTTCTGAAGGGCCTGGATCTTCTTGAATAAGGTGTTGCTGATAAATTCCTCCTCCTGCTCTGCTCTTGCTTGCTGTGGGACAGAGACACACGGGAGGATGCGGGAGAGGAAACATCAGTGAAATACACTCTGGGGTCTGGCACACTGAACTGTTTTGACCTTTATCCTGATTAAATTCTAACGACTAACAGTGGAGCGTAGGTACACATGCATCAATCAACCAAAGCCTGCTGCAGTGAAGTGTGCCAGCCAAAGAGGAAGCATAATTTTCCCAACAGACTAAAAAAAGATATTGCAGTGATGGGTGACTTACAGTGAGGCGAAGAGTGAAACATGGGGGCATTAAATAAATGTGTAGGGACAGCTTCAACAGCTAGCATTACAGTGTGATGATACGTCTGTCCTTGGCAGTCTCAAATTCTCCATCCCTCATTCTTCACTGACCTCAAAGCTAAATACTGTTTCGCAAACTGTGACAATCTGCCAGTTGTTCAAGAACAATATGAGGGACAATAGAAAACCAAAGAGCTAGTTAAGCTTTACAAATTTACAGAGAGGGTGGACAGGGTGTAGGGTGGTTGACTTGCCAACGTTAAGATCCTGGCATTTAGCTAGCTCGCTAAGTTTGGCCTGCATACTTCCCATCTATCCAACAGATCGGTTACACATTTTTATGAAGCTGGGACTGATTAACGGACCATGAAGACATATGACGCATCAGTCCATGCCAGTGCTGCTGCTGCTGCTGCTGCTAGGCTATTTATTTTCACTCAGTTACCGTATCCTTGTTGGTCATAACGTGGTGACAACGTCTAGCAGTGAGTAATCAGCTGACCAAAGAGCTAAACACCAGTGCGCTAACTTGAATCGTGAGGTGCCCACCTAATTTATGACGCCTCTCAACTTAGCCGTTTAGCTAACCAAGATTAGCAGCGCAAAACAAAACAAAGCAAACTAGCTGGCTATCGCTGCCCAAGCACCTAGCAAACGTTACCCCGCTGGCTAAATTAGCAACAACTAGCTAATGTTGGCAGAGCTAGCAAAACACCAAAGAGTTGTGTTGGAATACAGGTAACATAACCATGTAATACTGCAAATGTGCAAACATTGGCTATTAAGCACTAAACAAACACCACCAGCCAGAGCTAACTAAGTGACAAACGCATTATAGTAAGTAGCGTGGGGGATAGCATCTAGCTAGTTAGCTGGCTAACGTTACTCACAATGGTGACGCTAGCTTTGCGGAGGTCCCGATTCTCCTCCTGCAGGGCTTTGCACTTGAGTTTGAACGTCTCCAGCTCAATTTTGAGAACTTTATTCTCCTGCTGTAACGAGGCAAGGCGATTCGTCAGCTCCTCCAAGCGAAACTGTGAAATGACTATGCTCGGTTTGCCCGAATTTGAAGCGGAGGACGACATCGGGGTGGCTGAGCTGCTCCCCGCTCCGTCGGTGTCGCTCTCGCTTGCGCTGTCCGCCATGGTTGTGCGACAGTGTGTGGAGCAGGGGAAGACGACGGCAGCTGCAGCGTTTGAGAAGCGCAGACAGCAGAATGGTACACCGTGTGACCTTGCGCCCGCGTGTCTGCATAGCGCCACCACCAGGATGTCTCCAGTACTGCCCAATGCACCCAAGACAAACGAAACTGGAAGCTTGAACGCGTCTTCATTAAATCCATTCATTTGTCAAATGAGCAAAATGGGCAACTGATGGTGATGTCAGGTCACCATGTCATACTGGTGCATATGTAAATCCATCACACCTCACCTGTACTTGTGAAAGGTGTGCATTGGTCTGTGTTATATCTTTATTATAGCCTTATTGTACTTTTGTTATTCTTGCCCTGCTTCTACCTCATCTGTATCTAGCTGGTGCACCATGTATATTTCCCCAGGGAAGGCTCAATAAAGTTTATTTTTATCTTTAATCTGGACTCCAAGACCCTAAAGATCCGTAAAGTGTCCTGTATTATTACCTGTCTGGCCACCTTGTCTTCTAGAGGGACTGAAAATATGACATGCTGGATAATCCTGATTACATTTCTGTTTAATTAAAGTACCATTAATTGGTGCCGCACTGCGTTTTGTGAGATTTTGCACAAACAAATTGCAAATTCCTGCACGATCTGTACTGCTGTCTCACTTAAATAACACTGCAAATATGCTCGAGTGCTTAAGTAGAAAGGAGCTAGACTATACTTTTAACTTCTTGAAAACTTCTTATCACTCTTGGATGAGAGGTGAAACTCCTCCAAGAACTTAAAAGAATAGTCTGGTTGCTTTCTACCAAAGCTCCTAGGATTACCATGACCTGGATGACTGATAATCTACACAGACGTATTGGTTTGCACTTTGGAATGAACACCCTACGATCGGTGCAGGAGTGTGAGAAAATACCCTGATAGCACCTTTAATTTCCTACACTTGCTTCTTATTTGTCAGCTAAGTTGACTTGCAACACATGATATTTTAAACCTTTTATAAATCTCTAAAGTCTCCTGCTTCACTATTATGCACCAAAACCAGTCAAATTCCTCAGAAGTAAAAACATATATGGCAATAAAATGGACTTTGATCCTGATTTTAAAATCAGCACTTCATATGGCTGCAATCATAAATCATATTTTCCCTGAAGCCGTGAACAAAGATGGTTTTGCCATTACTACTTGGCCACATTATGGTAATGTAGGAAGAACTGGATTATATAAGTTCTCAGTGGGTGGCAAGAAATTTCTCTGTTGTGTTCCACATTTATTAGGACAACATCACCAGAATTTAAATCATGTGCTTCGTCTATAGATGAGTCTTTCCATCATCTGCACACAAATGGCTGCTTGAGAAATACAATAATAGTCAACAGTAAAAGTGTTCTTGGAGTTTCTGAAGATGTACATAAGAATAAGGCTTAAAGCAAATAGGAAACAACAAGATAGGAAGTGGGCAGGAGTTCATAAGTTAATCTTCATCCAGCTTGCTTTCAGACATTATTATAATGTTTCAGGTTTCCATTTCATTTAGTTTAATACCTTTTTTCTTTTGCCTTTACTGCATTGTGTCTGAAATAAAACAAGAAATCATATGAAAACAAAACTGCTCACCTGCATTGTTTATTTGCTGTGAGCTTTGTAACGTTAATAAAACCCACAAATAATTACGAGATGGGGAGACGTACTGCATTTTATGTTTAACTACGTCATCAAAAATCTGCAATATCCTCCCAGGGAACTCTCACTGCCTGGCCTCGCAATGCGGTCCAAGGACACTTTTGTTGGAATGGAAGTGCATAACTTTGAAGTCCCACTCCCATCTGATTAGTTACATAATAAGAGAAAAGAAAAAAAAATTCAAGGACACAAAGACAAGAACAGAAACAACTGTACTGCGAAATCATTGCATTTTTTATTTTTTTTTTATTTTTAGGTTGATTTTTTTCTTAAAGACGTCTGAAACATTTGTGGTGGCATCATTGCTGCTATAGCCTCTAAAAGACCTTGAATAACCAAAGTGCTAGAATAGTTACAGTTCAATGGCTTCACTCTGTTAGTAAGAATTGTACATCAAAAAATTCTGCTCAGGTGAAAACACATATCAAACGAAATTGACAAAAAATTGATAGTTCAACCATATCAAAGGATCCTCTACCCCCTGATTGACATAGTAAGTATAAGGGGATGTGGTACAGCACCCTACCTGGCTTCCTTTAAACCCTCCTTCCCCCCCCAAAAAAAAAGAAAAAGAAAAAAGTTACATAGTTTTCATGTCCACAGCATTAGACATCAGCATACTGAGCCGTCGCACCAGTAGAACACCACACTTGAACTACATGGGCATCTAATGAAAACCAATACAAAGATAATTCCTAATGTAATGTCAAAGTAAAATTTTCCGTCAGTGAGCTAGTGAAAACAATTCTATTTCGACACTGCATATACAGACTCTCAAAGCCTAAAGAGATCACACGGTTTCAGAGTAAAACACAATTTATTTAATGCTTAAATAATTGTTTTTTGACCATCCAGTGTTTTTGTCATACAATATGCTATTTAGAGCTACAATCAAATAATGTCTTTATGTGTCCTTAATGTGAGTAGGTTTTTAAATTAAGGAAATACTTCACCAAAATATCCAAAGTGAAATGCCCCAGTTTTTCCTTTAATACCACAGCAGCCGTTAGAAAAACCAAATTGGAACACTGCTAAAATGATTACAAACAGTCTAACAGTGTACAGAGACTCCTACACCTTATAGCCAATACGCACAATACAAGTATAATTTTACAGCGAGCCAGCCTACTAGCATGTACATTCAGATTAACTCGTTCTCGTAGCAGAAGCTGCCCTCCAGTTTTACACAGACAGACAAGACATCACATCCTCAAGAAGCTATAGAACTTTTTTCATCCTCACCCCCGCCCCCCCCTCAACATGATAAATGCTTTAATGGTATCCTTTTTCAATTTAAAATATAAAATTGGTGACAAATGTTAGGGCTATATGTGTACAGAGATAAAGGGTTTTTTTTTTTTATTTGTCATTTGAATACAGTGTTTGCAAACTTGTAAAAATTGTACTTAAAATAATGTGAACAGCATGCATGAAAATATGAGTACTCTGAAAGGCTGCTTTTTTGCAGGATTAGATCCATTCCCACTTTGGGAATTACTGAAATTTGATTTTTCTGGAAATTTCCTCTGTTAAAATCAAACCAGCTTTTTTTCATGTACAAACATTATACCTGCTCTAATAGTTAATTATACAAGAACCTGTGAAGTTACACTCAAATCTTTTAAATTCGGTAAATTTCGAAAGCACTTGAAAAGGTCACTCTCCTCCTCAGTGCGTTCTCAACCAGTAACTTACCCCCCCAGCCCCTTGTTTTTTGTTTTTTTTTAAGAATTATACACATTGTAATTTTATATACAGAAAAAAGCTTTTGTGTTAGTTTAAGTTTTAAAAAGGAAGGAAAAAAAATCCCAAACAATTTACATCCTGACAACAATGGGTTCAAGAAAAAACTATAAGGCGAGTGTTGAAGTTGGATCAGAAGTGTTCCATTAGATTTTTTTTGTTGTTGTTGTTGTGTGTTTTTATTGTGTTGACTTCATTCTTTCCACCCACCGTGGTGATTTGAGCTCTTGTGCCATCTTTGGTCACAGTTGCATCTGTGTGGTTTGTCAGTAAAACGGAGTCTTTGTCGTTTCTCACAACAAAACGATGCTCCTTCAGAAAGCTCTCACGACACCAGTGGACCGATGGCACGTATCGTTTCACACAAAACAGGAAGCAGAATCACTGTCCACTGGTCCACCACAGTCAGAAAGTGAGAACCTCCCGGTCCTTCGATTGACAGGGAGTGAGTTTTTCATGCTCATGCGTAAGTCAGAAGGGTTGACTCCTCTCACGTGAAAACCATTTGTTTGAAGCAGATTGTTGCAGACTGGACCTTTGCCTTAAGTCTTCACACTAGCCCTCTGAACACTTGTTCCCAGGAAACAGCTAACCCGGTTCCTCTACATCTGCAAGACACAAAACAGCACATCACATATTGCAGCAAATTCTCTGTAATTCTTTTGCAAGATTATAACTAGCAGGACATTTCCAAATGAATGAGACAATTCAATCAGGGGAAATATTACATTCATTTACAATGGACTGCACATGTAAACATGATTGTTGAGCTGCAAACTGAGTGCAGTCTTAAGCCCATCAATGCTGGTGATAATATTGACGTTTTACAGGTTGAAAAAGGCTCAACATTCTACCAACTGTTCAAAATCAACCTGAACATTGCAAATCTAGTGCTGACACAGAGTCAACCAATTGGGACTGATCTACATCAATAAATTAAATAAATAAAAATAAATAAAACAGCAAATGAACAGGCTCTAATCAGAGGTAGGCGTCCTGCTTCCTTCAGCCCCTGCCCTTGTGTGGGAGCCTGTTAAACTATTCAAGTCTATGCTGGTTTCAGACGCATCATTCACAGGAGTTTAACACAGCTTTTTCTTTTTTTTTTGTTGCTAACTATCTACTTAGTTTTTCCAATTCTGACACAATGGTGTCAGACTGGTGTTTTTGACAGCTGTAGAAGCACAGCTGGACTGCATTCTTTACACACTCATGCCTCTGCAATGGTTGCAGACTGCAGAACAGTCCCTTTATGGCAACACCAGAGCTCCAGCTTTGGGTATTACTGGGGCAACGCCCAGTGGTCAAAATGATACAGCTGGGGACCACCATGTTCCACCACCGCACTAATGCCCACTTCAGGGGATTCTGAAGGAAAGAATCCTCCTCTCAAAACAACCCACTGTGCCTTAGGTGCCTTGCAATTCTAAAGTAACTCTCCCTTTATACGCAAGAGTTTTGACGTGCTTATACAGCATGTTCAGTTCGATGCAAAATTATGTCCTCCTACTGCCAGCCTTCTGCCGGTGTTTTTGTATTTTTTAAGATGCTGCCGTGGTTAGCACTGCCACTATGAGAAGATTCTGGATTCCAAGCTGCTGGCCACCTAGGGCCTTTCTGTGTGCAGTTTGCATGTGATTGGTGATTCTAAGTT